ACAGCTTCCATGGACTTCAACTGGAGTTGTGACACTGCACAGCTGACAGTCAGCTGCCCCTGGTCTCTCAAGTTGGGGTACCCAGAATCGGTGGCCAGTCTGGGAAAATGCTGGCCTTGATTTCTCCTTTGCTGCCATTGCATATGTCTTTTCAGTACTTGTCTCTCTCCTAGGAGGTAAAATTTTCTAGTGAACATCTCTCAGTTCTTCCATGAAACAAAACAGCCATCTACCCAGGTGCCAGTTCAGGGCAGGGCTGCAGGCTAATTCATTCAGATGCTAATAGAAATTAAAGGAGTGTCAAAAGATATTGTAGTGTAATCAGACTGTGACGGGGTGTACCTACCCTGTGCTGGGGTGGAGGGGATTAACCCCATGCTATAGGCTGAGGAAGCCACGCCCCCTCACCCCAGCTGAGCACAGTGTAAGAGGGAGCAGCTCAGTCTGGGTGGGCTGCTGATGGGAGCAGATATGTGCGGAAGGCTTCTGCTGGGAGACTGTTGGATCCACCAGATGCTGATGCCAGCCAGGTTGATGCCTCTACCAAACTCCAGCAAACCACTGATGCTGACAGAGGCAAGGCAGCGACTGTCGGGGCCCCCTGCATTGGAAGAAGGGGTAGGATGCAACCCAGAGAATGGGATGGTAGGGGCAGGTGACTGAAACTGAGCAGCGAGGTATTGGTTCCCTAGGGCCTTGGGTCAGGACCCGGTGGAGAAGGGTGGGCCCGGGTCCCCCTATCCCATCTGACCTTCTGTGGACACTGCCAATGGGCAGGGAGGTGAATCGGGCTGCCAAATGCCATTACATAGACTCTGGCTATTGCGCCATACTATCCTGGGAAGAAAGGTTGCTACTTAGACTTTGGCTACTAGACCTTACTGCCCTGAAGCCCAGGTCTGCCTTAGTTGACTTGGGCTGCAAAGCCATATTGCCCTAAGGGGCTGACAGGGTGTATCTTCCCCGCAACACAGGCCAATTCACTTGTATTGGTTTGGTTCAAAGGAAATGTTAATGGTATTGTCTTCACTTATCTATAACCTGTTGATTTTTATTGCATTACATTATGCATATCCCTGTAACTTCTTACCCCGAGGTCAAAAGTGTGTGTTAATGTTAAGATGAGAATGTACTTGATGTGTAAACTTCATGAAAACTAATGAAGGATTGTTTACTCTTCCATTACCTTTTACATTGTGTATATCCCTGTAATTAAATTACCCATCAAATGTGATTGGAGCCTTGGCAATGTAAATTAAGAAGAGTGCTACCTTCAAAGCAAGGGCCATTTTATTCAACAATGGAAATTCACTGGCCTTTGTGGGTGAAGACATTAATCAGATTGTCTTTTGTGAGCATGAACTATAAATAACTGATTCAAAAGAATAATCCTGCATCTCTGGACAGTTTGAATTCTAATAGGGTGGAATTTCTGGACAAGGAGACAGTGATACCAGAGTTATTCTGGGTAACCCTGAAATACTTTTGGGAAACTAGCAGACTACTACATCTCTGCTATCATTTTGGATTACAAACTTTGACTCACCTGTTAACATATTTTACCTGTTTTAACCTCTCATTAATGGATCTCTTTTCTTAGCTAATAAATCTTTAGTTAGTTTACTAGAGAATTGCCTGTCAGTGTTGTCTTTGGTGTGAGATCCAGAGTACCAAATTGATCCGGGGTAAGTGACTGATCCTTTGGGATTGGGAGTAACCTAATGTAATGTGGTTTTTGGTTTACATAACCTTTTATCACAAAATCCAGTTTGTCTAGGTGGCAAGATAGACTGGAGAGTTGACTGTGACTCCATAGTGAGACTGGTTCAATGACCAGGAGGGCACATTTGTTACTGGCTTGGTGAAATCTAATTTTAGAACATACCATCAATTTGGGGTATCTGCCCTGCTTTCTGACAGTCTGACCTGAGATTAGCACTCACAGTTGTAAGCCACTCCAGACAGCTTGACAATAGCCTTGATGAATGAAAGGTTTTTAAGTTTTTGACCCAGCTGCATTGTTTTATAGGCGCGGAATACATTTTTCTGTAGCTTTTTTTTCTTTCTTGCAGGTTGTTGTCAATTGGAAACTGGCTGATCTAAGTGATCGGGAGCAGGCAATGCTGGAGTTTGCTCTTGCAGTCAGTCACAGTGATAACATAACTGAAGAGCACTTCCAAAAGCTGGAGGCGCAGGGTTTTGACCGGGAAGATGCCTGGGACATAGGCATGATTGCCTCCTTTTTTGCCATGTCTAATCGTATAGCTCACTTTACCGACCTGCGTCCAAACGAAGAATTCTACACCATGGGCAGAATACCTCGGGACAAGGAAAAGGCAGAAACTCCCTAATGTTGCCCACAATTTTGTGAAGACGTATCAAGCACTTAATGCTGTGGCTAATGTTGCTAGTTGCTGAATATATAAAAGGCACAAGCTAATAGCAGATTGTTACCAGAAGAGATCAGATGGGGAAATGGGTTACACTTTCCTCCAGCATGCAAAAAGCTGGAAAGGGTTTTCAGCTATGGGCCAGTGTCATAACGCTTTTAATTCCTAAAGTAGCTGCAAGATCAAAACATTTGTCTTAAACCTTGTTTAGATTGGGATAAATTTGCTGGGTAACATATAGTGATTGATAAACAAGCTGATAGCAACTTTGTCATCACATCTGTAACAGAGTAAATACCAGATGAGCTTTTGTATGTATAGTATTGTACCATTGTCAGACAGGGAAGGGCTGTAATAATTTCTCATCGCACTTTTGCTAATTATCAGAGATTAATGTATAAAAAAGGGTTGGGAGAAGGCTTTCTCAGCCCTATTAATTACTCTTATGTGATCCTGCAGTGAAGGCATAATGCGGCTGGTGTAATAGCACGATCATTCCAAAACATCCCACTGGTGTCAGTGGAAAGTCTCTGCTTGGCTTCATTGGAAGTCAGATCAGGTCCTTAGTGCCAGAGTGAGCAGAGCTGTGCAGTGCAGGTGTGACAGTGGGAAGTTTTTACTCAGTCACGGTACCGTATCAGTAATAACGGCCCGTAGAAAGTCCCTGACAGTGAAATATTGGTTTTTTTCTTCAAATGCTCAGATGAAGAAATTCTCTTGACTAATGCTGCTGGGCTGAGTGGTGAAGGAATGAAGCGTTTGTGTGCATGATACAGTGTGGCCAACTCTCGCAGTTTTATCAAAGGTCTTGTGATATATGGTGTTCTGCTTGCAGCCCTAGCTGCTGGAGTGAGGTGATTTGGGTGAGAATCTCATAGTCCATTGTTTAAAAAAGAAAGTTTCTAGCCCTCATGATTGTAGGGAAAAGCTTGAAAACATGACTCATGTGCATCCTAAAGGCTTAAAAACCTCCTGACAAAGAACCCCCCAGTTTATTTTGTCAAATCTCTTGATTTCTATGTTTTACTGCCTGACCTATGATTTTTGAACACTTTGGATTGGCAACATTGCAACTTTCCTCTATCCAGTCCAGGGCCGGCTCTAGGATTTTTGCCGCCCCAAGCAAAAAAAATGTTGGCCTTCCCTGCCACTTTTTTTTTCATGCCCCTTCCCCCGGCTCTGCCCCTTCCCAACCCCTTCTCCAAATCCCCGGCCCTGCCTTCTCCCCCAGGCGTGCTGCATTCCCCCCCCATTGCTTCCTGTGCCTCCCCCCCCCCCTGCAACCCCCCATCCTCGCTCACCTCCGCTCTGCCTGCTCCCCTGAACACGCCGCTGCTCCACTTCTCCCCCCTCCCTCTCAGGTGAGGGAGAGGCAGGGCGTTCAGGGGAGCAGGCGGAGCGGAGGTGAGCGAGGGTGGGGGGAGCGCAGGAAGTAACGGGGGGGTAGAGAAACTGTTCCCCGCCCCAGCTCACCTCTGCTCCACCACCACCACCTCCCCCTAACGCTGCTGCCCCTCGGCTTCTCCCCCCTCCCTCCTTCCCTCCCTCCCAGGCTTGCCATGCGAAACAGCTGTTTTGCGTGCTGCAAGCCTGGGAGGGAGAGGGGAGAAGCGGAGCGGCGGCGACGCGCTCAGGGGAGCAGGCGGAGGGGAGCTGGGGCACCGGGGGCACATTTCTAGGGGCGGCATGGCCGGCGCCGGAATCCCACCCCTAGAAATGTGCCACCCCAAACACCTGCTTGTTTGGCTGGTGGCCAGAGCTGGCCCTGAGCCAATCTGTTTCTCACAACTTTTCTAAAATGTCTCTACCGTAAATGGATCATAGACAAACTCCATCCACTCACTCCCCAGTAGTTAGGAAATGTGATTTTCTTGCTTGAGTTGTTTCCAACACGAAACCATGTCTGTGAAATGCAATTGTCTTGCCTTATGTGTATTTTAAAGTAAATTGTAACATTAAGGTTCTTGACTCAACTTTTACTCACAGAGGTCAAAAAATATAAGCCCTTTTTGAAAATGGTTGGACTGTGTGAAATGTGATCTTTTCTCCTTTCTCGGTGACTAGCTGAACCCCCCCCCCCCTTTTAGTGATAAAAGGTTTGTAAGTGAGAAGCCTCCGGCTGGATCCAAAATTCACGGAAGCCAGGGAGTGCCAAAGGAGCAGCCGCTCTTCCCGCCGGTACCGCCCTGCCCCCCACGCCCCTCTCCCCAGCTGACAGCAGGCGGGGAGCTTCCAGGGAGCGGGGGGCAGCCGCGCAGGGCGTGCCCCCCCCGCCCCCGGCAGGATGTGCTCAGGGATCGATGAAGAAGGGGTGAAAGGGGCGGTAACGCGGCAAGATCCCTGACTTCCCTCCCCAGCCCCACCCCATTCACACCCTCTTCCCCTCCCCCAGCTTCACTCCAGTGTGTGTGTAGACAGGACTCCCCCACGCCGGGGGGGGGCCGGGCTGATCCCGCGCGCGGGCTGGGTCCGGCCCTGGGGGCACGTGGGCGGGGCGATGGCGGGGGAGGGGGGGCAGGAAGGGGCGGGGCCTGTGGGTGGCCCCGCCTCCGGCGGGGGCGGGGCCCGGGCGCGCGCGGGCGGTTTCCGGCCGGCGGCGCGGGCAGCAGCGGAAGCGGCGCTCGGGGGCCGGGCCCCGCTGCCGACGCGTCCCGCGCGCTGTGATGCGAGCGGCCGGGCGCGGCGCGGGATGAGCTCTGCGCGCGGGGAGGCGGCCGGCCCCTCGGGCCCGCCCCGCCGCCCGTCCCCCGCCCCCGCCGCCGCCGCCGCCCGGCATGGAGCCGCCCAGCGCCAAGGAGCCGCCGGGGGAGCCGCCGCCCGCCTCCCCCCAGGCCCCGGGGGGGGCGGCGGCGGGCGGGGGCCTGTTCGGGTGGCTGCGGGGCCGCTGCCTGGGCCGGGGGCTCTTCGTGGACCCGGCCCGCGACAATTTCCGGGCCATGACCGGGCTGTACAGCTCCATCCAGCCCGCCGACTCCGTGTACCTCAGCACCCGCACGCACGGCGCCGTCTTCAACCTGGAGTACTCGCCGGACGGGTAAGGCCCGGCCCGGCCCCCACCCCCACCCCCGTCGGCGGCCCCGGCCCGGCCCCCCCCGCAGTTCCCCCCGCGCCTCCCGGCCCACATCCCTTATCCCCGCCGCCTCGATCCTCCCGTCCCCAGATACCCCCTCCCCACAGCGATCCTCCTGGTCCCATCCCTACCCCCATCTCCTCCATACACACACGGATTGCAGCTCTTCCTCCTTCACACGCACACACGCTGCTTTCCCTCCCTCCTGGCCCGGACCCACGTCCAGCCCAATCCTCAAATCCCCTGCCCAGAACCACCCCCCCTTCCCCACACACACACACACACACACCTGTGCCTGGCCCCATCCCTCCCCCACCCCTAGTCTGGACCCCCCCACGCCCCAATCCTTCCCTGCACCTCCCTATGCTGAGCCCCCACTCTTTCCAGCCTGGACCTCCACCATGACAGGGACCTTGTCACCTCCCCTCTCTGGGGAGCCCCCACCTCCAGATCAGTAAGAGACTGTGACCCATCTGGATATGTACCCTTCTGCAGAAAGACTCCTTCCCATTCAGGTGGGGGACTGAGGGGTGGCCCTGCTGGGGCATAGTCCAGTATCTTCCCACCCCCTTACCTGGACAGGTAGGAGACTGCTGGGACCCACCTGAGATACTCCCACCCTGACATTCCCTGGGGGAGGGACCCCCTGAAATCCCTAGGGGTACAACAGAGCTTTCTACCCACCATGGGCAACCAGTGGAGATGATCTGCTCCCTGGCGAAGCCTAGAGACACTCTCATTCCTGGTTTCAGAGTAGCAGCCGTGTTAGTCTGTATTCGCAAAAAGAAAAGGAGTACTTGTGGCACCTTAGAGACTAACAAATTTATTTGAGCATGAGCTTTTGTGAACTACAGCTCACTTCATCAGATGCAACTCTCATTCCTGGGACAGAGGGATTTTGGCTCTGATGGGGATCGAGGGTGTCTGCCATGTGGGGAATTGGGTGCTGATGGGCCTGTCTCTGCACCCCCATGTGGGTCTGATTGGGTTTGGGATGATGCTTAGGTCACACTATATGGCAGAGGACTGAAGGGTGGGTAACACTGTTGTACTCAGCTGCAACAGTAGGTATCATGATCACAGGATGGACATTAATTGCCTGGAGGGGGGAAATAGAGGGCCAAAATCCACTCATTAAACAGCACTTAGATGACTAGAATGTTTTTCAAAGGTTGAACTGTCTCTCTAACTAGTTGGAGGCTTAATACAATTACAATTAATAGTCTATGGCTCTCAAGGAATTTGACTGAGGTCAGTAACTATCCCTAGCCCTGCTGGGGAAATTGAAGGAGAGTGAATTGCACAAGATCACACAATAAAGCTGTGAACAGAACTTGAGTTTTCCACCTCCTAATCCTCTGTCCCATCTGCTGGACTTATATGATAACGGAGGATAAAGGTGCTGATAGATGCAACTTACAATCCTTGGGGAAAGTCTCTAACAAGAAGCTGCTAAAACTGGCAACTGCAAGATGACAGGAGATATCCTGTGAATGGTTAACAGGCTGCAAAAAGTAGGAATAAACAACCAGTTCTCTGTAAACAAAATGTTTAGTAATGGGGTGTGCCTCAGGTACGAGAACCAGTGGTCAATACCTGGACCTTAAAGAGGAGTAGATGGTGAGTTGGCAAAAGTTGCTGACACATGATTTGTTAGTCAAGATTTAGGAAGGAGTTGTGAAAAATTCCTACCCAACCTAGCAGCACAGAGTAACTGGGCAGCATGATGGCAGATGCAAGTCATAGAAAACAGTTCAGTATTCGGTGGTGGGTAAAAAAGTGGCTTAGATGTTAGGCTGTATTTAGGAGAAAATAAAGAATAATACGGAAAACATTATGTAAACTTGATGGTATGTCCTCACCTTGAATAGTGCATTCAGTCTCTCTGCTAAACCTCTCGAAAGCAATGAATGGGAAAGGCCAATTGGATAATAAGGGAACCAAGAGGGTGCTCATTAAAACTATGAAATCAACTACTGAAACCAATATATTTAAAATATATCTAATTCTGTGGAACTTCCTATGTTAGGTTATTAGACTGAACAGTGATTAGACATGTATATAAACAATAGCATTTCTTTTAAAATAGCATATCCAGAAAGCACAAAGTATCCTTTCAGGGCCTATATAATCTAATAACGATTTGGGATAGGAAAAAAGTCTTTCTCATAGACCGGGGGGTAGTAAAGTAGATACTGGGACAAGACTGACTCTTGACCTGTCTTGGAATAACAATAGCTATATTCCTACTCCTAGGCAGGTGTTAAAAGTTAAACCAAGTTTCCTGATTTGACAAACCCATTCCAGTTTCATTTGCTGTTCTGAAAGTTTAACCAGTACAAATCCAATGTTGGTGTGTGAGTGCATTATTAAAGTGTATGCTTTGTTATTTGGCTGAAGAGAGAATGAATCTATAGGTCTCCTGCCCATTGATGTGTGTGTGAGAATAAGGAACCGAGCAGATGCCGTAAGAGACGCTGTCGAGATTTGTAGGCCAAAAAGTTTTGATCACTTCTTGCTTGCAAAGTCTTTGTCGTTCAGTGTGGTAATTTCACCAAATCTTTTAAAAAGATTTTTACACTAATAAAGTGGGGTGCATTCATGTTGCGGGTAGGGAAATTCAGTAAAGAAATAAATCTGTCTAATGCTTTCAAGAGTTAATTTAAAAAAAAGCTACACTGCCAAGGCTTAACTATACAATGACACCGTGTATTGGGACCAAAGATTTTGTGTTAAGGCTGAATTCTGTTTGCCTTACATATGCAAATAGTACCACTGAAGTCAATGGGACTTGAGAATAAGTAAGATGAGCACAGCTTGGCCCAGGGAGTGGCATGGTATGTAAATGGTTACAATTCTGTTGTAAAACAGCTGGTCACAAGCTACTGGAGACAACTTTGAACCTCTTCGACTGAGCCATCGCTTTAATGACTACCTGCGCCATGTTTGAGCCAATGGGCCTCTGGGTTACAAAAACTAGTTCAAGATCTGGGACTTGCTGTATTCACTTTTATGCCAAAAAGACAGTGCTAGGCTGGGGGAGACCAATGTCAGTTCTAAGGTCGTACCTTGGGAGACCCACTTGGACTACAAACAAATGACTTGAGCCATTGGAAAGCTGTGGATCTCCACTGTCCAGCAATATAAAGTATTTGCTTATAACTGCAGCAGGTCCTATGACGGGATTACGTAGTCGAGATCTGATTACTATCTTGTTGCTTTTTCCACTTCCATTGACTCTAGTAGAAGATATATTACCAACAGTGAGCATGCAGTAACAATAGTAGGAAGCATTTATAGAGGATTAAGCAAGTGCTGTTTTGTGTGATGAGAAGTTTTCTTACACTGGGACTTTTGCACTGGCATAGCTACAATGAAGCATCACTTCAGACCCCTAGTGTACATGTGCTGCACGGATGTAAAAAGTCACTTGCAGTGGTGCCAGCGTAGCTACCTCACTACAAAAGTACTCATTGTAGACAAGGCCTAAGCTGCCTTTACACATCCGATGATCCTGGGCGGATTTGGGAACCAAATTGACACTTGGCGCAAGTTAGCAGGCACAGGCCTACTGTAACTTATGCTAGCTAGAACATTCCCCATGGGATCATTCTACTGGTTGAGGATTTGGTGGAGCACATTTTCTTCTTGGCTGAAATACCCCATTGCATCACTCTACACTACTCAAGAATCCTCTTATGCTGGGGAAATCCTTAGCTTCCCATTTAAGGCAGCTCTAACATCAGTTTGTGTAGCTCTAGGGATGCAAAGTGAGCTTAGTAATGCTGCTCATCTGGCTCAGTGATGCTCAGCTAATTTTAAAAACAAATGTTGTTTGGTAGTGAAATGGGATACCCTTGATTAATGCAGAACCAGACTTCCCCAAAAAATTACTGCTATCTTATACCTATGTGCCTCTCTGGGATTTTTGTAAATTGTCTTGCTGCCATTTGCTTTCCTAGTATTATCTGTGAACGTGCCCCGAAAAGGATCTTAGGTTCTCAGATTCTGCGAACAACTTTTGACAACTGTTAACATCAGTGAACAGGTACACCTAGGCCAGTCTTCACTGCATTTATAGCAGGATAATTAACACCTGCTAGCTATTGCTCTGTAAAACCCTCGTGGAGACAAGGCTTTGTAGTTTTTATCGCAAGGTGGGGCTCAGTGAGGTGAACGGGATGTTGATCTTGCTTACGTACATTGTGGTAAAAGCTACCTGTGTCTTACCTCCTCTAGGATTGTACAGTGAGATAGCTAACCCACATTTAGTTTTATCCTGCTGTAAATGACTACCTTTCGGTTGTGAAGACACCCTTAGCCACAGCTAGTGACAAATGACACATTTGCAAATCTTTCCTCTTACTTCTACCTGTGTTTTAAATCTTTAAGATTTAGTAATGCACATCAGCTTTATTTTCTTCTAAAGTTTTAACAATAAATGGTTGAGTCCTAAAATAGCCACGTATTTTAAAGTTCTAAATGATTGCCAAATTCTGCTCCAAAAGCGTGGGTTTTTTTTTCACATGCAGAATAATTGAGAAGTTTAACAGAGCTCCTCGAATGGTCAGATTATCCTTAAATGGCACTCTATTTGAATTTTTTTAAAATTAGTCAGTTTAAAGGAATTCTGCTTTCTGACAGAGCACTCTTTAAATAGTGTATCCTGAATGTTTTCTTTCCACTGACTTCAGTAGGCTTTGGATCAGGACCCAAGTGAGCAGCTACCTAACTCAAAATTATTATAAAGAAAGGGATAAGCTATTATGACTGAGTGCAAACTAATCTGACTTTCAGAAACAGCTGCCTGAAACGAAGTAATTATCTGGTTTGGTTAGTATTGGTAAACATCAAATAGTTTTAAATTGCAAATTTTTTTGTTTATATTTACTGGTCAGTTGCTGATTACAGAATACCTGCATGTGTATTAGTTTGAAATGATCCAAACACATACATTACAACTGGCAGGGTGGTGAGACATGACCCAGATTCTAGAGTTCTCACGTGTGTTCCAAATGTACTTAAGTACTGCTACTGTCCATTGCGTGTGTTTTAGAGGTTTCTATCTGAGGATCTCAACACATGAATTAATATAGCTTCACAGTACCCTTCTGAGAGGCATGTATTCCCATCGTATAGCTAGAGGAAGATGGTTAAATGCCCAAGGTCGCATGGGAAATCCGTGATAGAGGTGGGGAATAGAACCCACATCTTCACTACTACTCTTCATCCTTCTTTTCCTGTCCTTATTACAGACAATAATCCTTAACCAATCAGTGCACACTTTCCCACCTAGGAACCCCTAGGTTAGAATATAAAGTACTGCACTGATAGGGCAAAGTGTCCTTAAAGATCACTGTAAAAACTGTACTAAAATATACCTAATTGTGTCATCAAATGTTATGAAGTAACACATCCGTTCAATAGCTATAAAACACTCTGAATAAAAAGATCATGTGATCACACCAGCTGTGCATCAATGTATGCCAACGGCCAGGCTGTTGAGGAGATGGAATCTTTCTGAAAAGGTAGTAGAGGAATTGACTTGGTAAGGGAGTAAGCAGTAGATCAGTTTCCACTGTACAATCATGAAGTAGGAAGGGTTTGAGAAAAGGTAACTGTACAAAGCCCATCAGAACAGTATCCATTTGTAAAATGTGCACATTAGCAATAAAACAGAGATGAATCAATGACAACAGCTGTAAGGGTTACTTGTCAGTGTTTGCAGCCTTCATTTCTCTTTACTAACTGCAAGATACCTCTCTCCCTTTTCAGGTCAGTGCTGACTGTTGCTTGTGAACAGACTGAGGTCCTGCTTTTTGACCCCATATCTTCAAAGCACATCAAAACTCTCTCTGAAGCTCATGAGGACTGTGTGAATAATATCAGGTTAGTATCATGGGAAACAAAACCAAACTTTCAGTAAATAGAACTCCAACATTTTTCCTAACTGTAGGTGTTAACATGTTCATGATGCTGTAGTGATATACAGATCAGTCCTGTGCTTTTTGTCTTGTCGGCAGACAATGTGGTATAACTATACCGGTTCACAAACTGCAGTATGGGTGTGGGGAGAAAGTTGATGGAAAATCTTACAAATAAGAGAGCGCACAATGCAATATTGAACATATACATACAACGCACCTTTGTCCCTTTAAGTCTCAGGCTGGAGCAAGTATAGCTAGAAGAAGGAATGTTACTGGAGGCAATGTAGTATAGTGGATAAGGGCCTGCACTGTGCATTAGGAGATGTGGGTTCTAGTCCCAGCTCTGCCACTGCTTCACTATGTGATCTTGAGCAAGTCACTTCACCTCTTTGTGCCTTTTTCCCCTTCAACACTGTGTCTGTTTTTATTGTGAGTAAGCACCTTCTTCCATCCTTCCTAGAGGTGGGGATGGGACAACTCCCACCCAGAGGTGGCTGTAAAAGATAGGCCAGCATGACATATGGTGGGAAGAGTGCAGGGACTGAGTTTCTCAACATGGCATTGACCTTCCTGCTAGAGCCCTTTACTCTTGTCTTTTTATTTGCCTCTAGTTTATAGATATTTGGTGTATTGTCAACTCCGCTTTTGCTTTTAGAGATCCCACTCACTGTAAATGCTCATTCTGATACCCTGCCCTCTTTTATATTGTAAATTTCCAAACCTGGGATTCTTAAAATATTCTACTCCTGAAAAGTGAAAGAGTAAAGATGGCTAATGGGGTTCTGGGTTCTGTATCACAATGTTTTTCTTATCAAATGTGCTCAGTTTACAACTAAACCTGCGGTGATTTAACCTGCAAGCCCTACAAATGCAACATGAGCTCGGAGTCGAGCTGAATTCTTTCCTCTTCACGCAGCATCACCAACAATAAACCAGACCAAGTACGCCCTCAGTGTACAACCCAGATACCTAAGAGATCTATGGATGACAATGTTACAGAAGTAATTTTTTTAATGTGTAAAGATAACTGACTGGAACTGAGTTGATCTGCAAGGAAGGGTAGAATTAAGCTCTCACCCTTAGCTATGTTGGCCCGATAGAGCTAACCAGGGTCCTCTCCAGTGTATTTGGTCATGTCCACCTTGAGTGAAAAGGTGCCATTTTTACATAGTTACTGAGCAATGTAGAACTGGTTTCTATTTTGAAAAATACAACGTCTCTGGTGTGTTATCACCATTCTTTTTCCGTGGTTTGAGGTTCTTGCCTTGCTGCAACCTCTCCCCTTAAAGCCAATCCCTGCTGCACTGTCTTTATTTATTCTGGATCTGTTTAATCATTTCAAGCACCTCCCTTACAACGCTTTCATCTGCACAAACAGTCTTGTCATTTTCCTCTGTGCTGAAGCAAAGCAAGCTCATAGATTTTAATGCCAGAAGGGATCGAGGTGATCATCTAAGTGGACTTGCATTGTGTAGGTCATAGAACGTCACCCAGTGATTCTCCCATTGAGCCCAACGAACTTGTGGTTGAAGCAGAGTGGATATTTTTAGGAAGAATCTTGATTTAAAGACTTTCAGTGATGGAGAATCTGCTAGTTCCCTTTTTAAGCTGTCCCATTGGCTAATTACTCTCACTGTTCGGTTTTTTTTAATCACACCTTATTTCCAGTTTGAATTTTTCTAGCTTCAGCTTCCAACCCCGGGCTCTTGTTCTGCTAGATTAAAGAACCTTCTGGTATTGGCTCCCTGTGTATACTTGTAGACTGTGATCTAGTCAAGTCATGGGTCTGAACCAGGGTTTTTGTCTGAAGCCCAGAGATTATCAGTATAAAGAATGCTATCAGGTGATACCGAAGTGCTTCATTTGATGACTGTAATAATCTGACTAGACCATCCATAGTCTTGCACCATTCCCGTTTCAAAGTCTTCTTACTTGGCAGAAGGTAAAGTGCCTGACTTCTGTTTTTCCCAGTGTGTCTCCTCACTAAATAGTGGAGAGCCACTATGCACATTTGCGGCAGACGTTGGGTGGTGTGTACAAACTGATGCAAGTGTGTAGTACATCTGCCTCGTTTCATGCATAGGTTAGTCGGTGTGGAGTGAATGAAGTCAGGGGACAGCATATTGAACGGTCAGAATACTCAGGATGGATAAAGATCATGGTTTTCTTAAAGATTTTGTTAATCATTTCTTTTTTAAATATATGTTTACATTAGTTTTTTTTATTTACATGTTAGTTCTTTACTTCCTGTTTTGTAGTCTTAAATTACTGAAGCTGGTATACTCATTTTAGTGAGCATCCTTTCAGACTTTTTTTCTTCTAAGAACTTTTGCACTTAAAATCCATGTCCGTGCTGAAAAAGAAAAATCGGGGCGTCACTGATATATTTACTGTCAGACATAAAACTGATATGCAAATGGCTGTAAATATAGCACAGGCTAACACCACGTTCCTATAGATTGAAATTTCATAAGCCAAGAAAGCTGAAATGCTTTCATCAGGGTTTGCAACCTGAAGTCAATGGGATTTAGGATTTTTGGAAAAATCCCACTTTTACGTGCCTAAATATAGGTTTAGGAGCCTAGGCCCTGCTTTTGGAAACTTTGGCCTGTGTATTAGTTAATAACTTTTTCACTGTTAACGTGGAGCAGTTTTTGTTTTCAAGTGACAGATTTTGACACTAATGCTTTCAGTAATGATATCCCTGATGCTGCGGGCACTTATGGGCATGCTTAACTTTAACTACATTGATAGTCCCACTGAAGCCATTGGGACAAATCATGTGGGTAAAGTTGTTATCTTAAGCATTTGCAGGATCCAGACCTTCACTTCCAATATTCTGTGTTTTTTGCCTCTAGCAGTTTGCAACATTGCGGTGATACTGTACCAATAGTAGCATTTAGAAAAACAGCACTTATAAATTAGGTTTCAGAGTAGCAGCCGTGTTAGTCTGTATTCGCAAAAAGAAAAGGAGTACTTGTGGCACCTTAGAGACTAACAAATGTATTTGAGCATAAGCTTTTGTGAGCTACAGCTCACTTCATCGATGTGACATTTCTTAGTCTCTAAGGTGCCACAAGAACTCCTTTACTTATAAATTAGTTCATTTTAAATTTTAATCTAAAGTTGCAGTATCATACATTTTTAAATTAGTTTTACAAAGCCTCAACCTGATCTAAATCAGTGACTTCTTAGAAAAAATCCAGTGGCTTAAGTCACCTTGACTTTATATCATTCCACCCTGAGAATAACTAAATTATTGAATTGCCATGTTCACTGTTCAGTCCAGCGTGTGCACTGAGTAAGGCAGAGGTCCTGTATAGGAAAAGTGTGTGGTTGTCATTAAAAGCGGTATCATAATCCAGATGCACAAAGGGGTGGAGTTCCAGCTATGCAGGCATTCCATGGCTCTTGAGTGCGTGACTACACAACTCAATCTTTTAGTGCAGACTTTTTAGTATGGAATTATTTAAGATTTTAAATTTATTTTTGTAGAGGGAAGTGATTGGGGGGGGGGGGGAATAAAACTGTAGGACCAAGTAGGGAGAGGTTGGAGGAAGATGAGGAGAAAGGCCAAGAAACTAGAAGAATGAGGTCTGGCAGCAGAAGTTAGTGATTGGAGAAAGGTGGGAAGAAGGTATACCTGACCTCCTGTGATGGCAAATCCTAGGAGAAAATTGCACAGGTGTGTCTTACTCCTGTTACCGCTTTTTTAGATATGTGTTCAATCCTGTACAGAGCTCCCTCTGCTGGCTCTTGTCGCCACAGCAAGCAATATTCCCAGAGTTTTACTGTCTTCATGCTGGTGCCTACAATAGGCAGTGAAGGAAACTACAGACGAAACCAGTAGGGACTGAAGTGTTTGCATTTGAGATTCTGGAGATATTACGAACGCTCTGGATAAATAAAAAGAAACAATGCCAAAACATCAGTAGTGTCTTTAAACATTTTCATGAGTCGCAGTAAAAAGGCAAATACTAAGCTAGGAGGATAAAAATGCATATTTCACTATCTCCTGGTCAGCTCTTCGTTGGACTAACTCTCCTGTATTGTTGAAGGGCGTCTTTATACACTTCTCAGTCAGTTTGGGGCCATATTTTCAGAAATTCTTGTACTCAAGGTAGTAATGCAATTACCCTGGGTGGTGGAGTACAAACATGGCCCAGTCCAGATTTAGTTAGTTGTGTGGCAGCACGTCTGAAAATTTGACTACCGTTAACTTTCTTCAGTCACCAAAACTTTGAAACAATCTGCTTTGTCAATAATATTAATAGGTCACAATGAGGTGAGGTCTCCTTGTGCTCGGGTCAAAATCCCTTACTAATTTCCTTGGATATTTAAGTGACAGTGGTGTGCTGTATAAAACCCCAAGGAGTTTGTGACTTAGCAGAAAATATTTCAGGCATAAGATGCACTGGCTAACCCAGCTAGGTGAGTGCTTTTTACAGTGGGACAGGGTTTAATAATGGGCTAATATTGGTAGGCTTCACAGAAAATGTGTTCTGTTTTTCTTAAAGGAGGGATTTGAATGGAGAGAAGCTAGTGATTTTGTCCAGCAGGGATGGAAGGGACAGCTTGGGAGGAAGAGTCAAAGGATGTGGTAAGGAGGGAGGGGAAAAAAGCGTAAAGAACAGTACCATGTCATCTTAATTCAGTGAAACCTACTAGAACCTTGTGCTATCTAAAGTGTGGAGATGAGGATTCCTGTATCTTTCAGCACTCTGCCTGTTGACAAGAGTGGAGCGATTCTGAAACCAAAGTGAAGGCTGCAGGTCTAAATGAAGTCTGACAGCCTTGAGAATATCCCTCTAATAAAGAGGCTCCCCAAAGGGAGTCTTCTGCTAATGGTGGTCTGAAAGCTGGCTGGTCACGTGATGCTAATTTCTAGCGTCCAGCTGCTAAACTGTACTAAAAGGCAGTTAAAAATACAGTCAATCCTTCCCTAGTATCTTCCTCATGAGCAATTGCTTTAGTTGCCACAGGGATGACAGGCTATATATAGTACAGTGTTGGGTGCCTATATAGATCTGTAGAGAAATAAATGACTAATTTAATAGTATTTGCTTGATTCTCCATCAGTTAAGAAATGTGTTTTATTCCCCTGCCCAAAAAGTATTTGTGGGGGAGATCAGTGTCACCAGTGCTACCTAAGACACATTTGGGCCCCTTTTCTATTTTAGTGGCAAGCCTTATAAATCCAATAAACACTTACCGCACATCTTCCATGGCAGTTTGGCTTTCAGGGGCGTCATTCCATACATCTATTAAAAGGCCAGCCATTATTCTACAATCTGCTAATGGAGGGACTTGGGGGGGGGGGGGGGATCATTGCATTCAAAGCACATGTACAGCGCTATGGCCGCAAGTGCTAATGGATGGATAAACCGATCAATCTCAAATAGGAGTAGGGGGTGGCAATACATCTGTGTTTGGCATTGGTGTGACCATTACTGGAATGCTGTATCCTGGTCTGGTGCCCACAATTCAAGAAGGCTGTTGATAAATTGGAGAGGTTTCAAAGAAGAGCCACGAGTGATTAACAGAATGGAAAACATCTTGTAGTGAGAGACTCAAAAAGCTCCATCTATTTTGCTTAATAAAGAGTAGGTTAAGGGGTGACTTGATTAGTCTGTAAGTATCTACATGGGTAACAGAAATTTGATAATGGGCTCTTCAGTTTAGCACACAAAGGTGTATAACAAGATCCAATGGCTGGAAGTTGAAGCTAAACAACTTCAGACTGGATATAAGGCATACATTTTTAACAATAAGGGCAATTAAAAATTGGAACAACTTATCAAGCGTTGTGGTGGATTCTCCATCACTGGAAATCTCTAAAATCAAGTCTGGATGCTTTTCTAAAATATATGGTGGGTTCAAACAGGAATTAATTCAGGAAAGGCTTGTGTCCTGTACAGGAGGTCAGACTAGGTGATCACAATGGTCCCTTCTGGCCTCATAATCTATGAAAACCACCAATGGGACATCCCTGAGACAGTTTTTAAGATGTGTCCATGCTATGAAAAAATATTGCCCTCCCTGCTCTATTTCCATAGATCTTGTTAGCTGCTCTCTTTAGTTTGTCCCTGGAGATGAAATATGAAACTGATACTTACGTTTTTGCCTCAAAAAGAGTGGTAAGATTCACATCACTAAACTGTCTGCTACTGCAAACTATCCATCCTTTGTGTGTGGCTTTATTTTTATAAATCATAATTCCCAGTTCAGGAGTAACAGTCTGAAACATCTTAGACACACAAGGCGGACAAGACTGTGCTTGCTTTACAATATTTAACTGTCTGTCAACTTCACAGGTTTCTAGATAATCGACTGTTTGCAACTTGCTCTGATGACACTACGATAGCACTTTGGGATCTGAGAAAGCTAAACACAAAAGTGTGTACTTTACATGGTCACACAAGCTGGGTGAAGAACATCGAATATGACACCAATACCAGACTACTAGTAACATCAGGGTTTGATGGTAATGTGATCATTTGGGACACCAACAGGTATGTGAATATGGGTTATGTATGGTCATTAAATATATGAAATGTGATAGGGACAGGGCTCTTTTAAAATAGATACATTCATCTTGGATGAAACTCTATTGCTCTGAATGGAAACTTAATACATTCTTAAATTTTGTCACTGATTGCTCATCAGCCAATGGTGATGATCAAGAATTAGGATTGCCTTATTGCGATGAAGATCTAGCAACTCAAAGGAGGCTATGTAGGTCAGATTGAAACAAAGCTGAAAATGTGCTGTATCAATCTAGAAATACAAGTGTGCACATTGAGGATCCCCACCCCCTATTTAAAGTCCAGTTTAAATGAGATCCATAAGAGTGTACAAATGGTGAATGAGTCAGTGGGGAACACAGAGTGCTCAGCACTTTGAAAATCAGCTCATGTGTTTATGAATTGACCTGTGGATTTCAGAATCTAACTTTAGGCTCCTGTTTTTGCCAATCTTGGCCCTAATCATCTCTCTCATTTTGCACTATCCAGGTGCACCGAAGAAGGATGTCCTCACAAGAAGTTTTTTCACACCCGTTTTCTCATGCGGATGAGACTGACACCAGACTGTTCAAAAATGTTGATCTCCACCTCCTCTGGGTATCTTCTGATTTTGCACGACCTTGATTTAACCAAGTCCTTAGAGGTTGGCAGCTATCCAATATTAAGAGCCAGAAGAACTGCATCAAGTTCAGGTGAATTCTTGTTAGTAAAAATCTGTACATTGTGATCCATTTGATAGAGGTATATGTATACTGTTCCCTTAGAGGAGTGGCTAAGAAGATTCTAGCAGGAAAGTGGCACTATGATAGCTATTTTACCTTGTTCAGGAGTGATTCTGGCCTGTAGTTAAGCTGACCTAAGTCCCCATATAGACAGCGCTAGATGAGTCAAACAACAAAATTCTTCCATTGACCTAGCTACTGCCTCTTGCGGAGGTGGCCTACCAGTGCTGACGGGGGAATCCCTCCCATTGGTGTAGGTAATGTCTACTCTGAAGCTTTGCTAGCATTTTAAGTGTAGATAAGCCTTAATAGGATACCACCAGAGAGTGATCAAATATGAAATAACTAATGTGGGAGACTGTTTCCTGTTGGTCTGTCACATGGGTGCTGTGAGATACTTAGTAGCAGGGGGAGGGATAGCTCAGTGGTTTGAGCATTGGCCTGCTAAACCCAGGGTTATGAGTTCAATCCTTGAGGGATCTGGGGCAAAAATTGGGGATTGGTCCCCCTTTGAGCAGGGGGTTGGACTAGATGCTCTCCTGAGGTCCCTTCCAACCCTGATATTCTATGATCCAGAGAACTCAGCAGCAGGATATTCTGTGGTTCGTGGTTCATTTTGCCACATTGCAAGAACTTAACAAAATAGTCCCCCAAATTAACAATGTACTCTGTGCCTCCCTTACTGTTTGGTGTCAGTCACTTTTGTCTTAGCAGAGCTACTATAGGCTGCCCAGTGGTCAATACAAGGTAACCTACTAAACATGCAGTGCTGCTCTGAAAAGGGACTTTATAAATGGCATAATGGGGCTTCATGTTATTTCCTAGCAAATTCTCTGTAGTTACTAGTGAATGGAGCAGATTTTTTCTAATTGCCGTCTGCCGTTCATACAGACCCTGAATCCAAGTTGAAGTTTGTTGTTTGACTCATCAGCACCCATGGCAAAGATGCTGCAGGTCAGACCCTGACCCAAGTTACCCCTGTGCAGCCTCGGTCTAAATGGAGTTGCACAGGTGTGAATGAGAGACCGTTTTACCTTTCGGCATCCGTTACTGCAGAAGCATGAGCAGGAGAGAACCCAACTCTTGACTCTTAGACCCTAGGTTGAGTTTGTAGTGCTGGCAGTTTACTTGTAGCAGATGCAAACATGGATCCATAATGGTACTTCTAGGGTTGTTTTTCAGAGCAGAGCCACACTTTAAATTGAAAAGAGTGCACTGAACACTAGCTTATTTGGGGTTAGAAGGAGTGGTTTGGTGCTCAATTGTTTGTGGTTTAAGGCACTTCTTGGGAAAGCACTGTCTTCATTAGTGAGCCACATTTGATTAGGGCTGTGCTGGTTTACGTTCACAGGAGGTTATATACAAAGCAAAAGAGCTTATCCCATCTGTCAGATTTACATGGCTGCTACTCTGGTTTCAGACACGACAGCTACCAGTTCATCTGGTCCTAGAGCTGTGGGTTCACCATGTCACCAAAATGATTCCGGTCCGTTGTCTGAGAAACACATGTCGCGACCCTCCCAACGAGAAGGTATGTTAAGACTAGAATAAAATGCATAGGTTCTTATGTGTAAGTGGGTCCAGTGAGTAGCCAAAATGTAAACGTGAATAAATAGTGTGTACTTTAAATTTTATATACTTTCCTACCTCTTATTGCTTAGGCTATTTTAAAAATCTCACTAGGCTTTACACAAATTCCATACTATATATCATCACAGTATATAGAATGGTGATGTCCGGAGTTCTAATGTTGTTGCTTTCAGAATTCAAGAAACAAGACACTTGTTTTACATTTTACATTAATGTATAATATGTGGACAAATGGATGAGTCCAGAGGGGAGAGACTGGGAAAAAAAAAACGGGGTTTAGAAAACATGATGTATGAGGAAAGGTTGAAAGAATTGGTATGTTTAGCCTAGAGAAGAAAAGGCTGAGGGAGAACATAAGTCTTCAAGTATGTAAAAGGCTGTTATAAAGATCAGTTGTTCTCCACTGAAGGAAACACAAGAAGTAATCGATTTAATCTGCAGCAAGGAAGATTTAGGAAAAACTTCCTAACTCTAAGGATATGTAAACACTGGAACCAAGGGAGGTTGTCGAATTCAGGTCCTGGGGGATTTTTAAGAACAGGTTAGCAAAAACCTGTCAGGGATGATCTGCCTCCGTGCAGGGGACTGGACTGGACTAGATCAAGGTCCCTTCCAGCTCTACACTTCTATGATTCTATGACATAAGCACCTTTATGCACATGATGAAATCAGTTTTTTTTTTTGTGTAGTATTTCTCAGTGCAGCTTATTCATTTGAGTACACCTCTACCCCAATATAATGCAGTCTGAGGTAACACGCATTCGGATATAACACAATAAAGCAGTACTCTGGGGAGCGGGGCTGCTTTATCTTGTTATATCCGAATTCATGTTACCGCAAGTGGTTCCTCTGCACCCTCCCCCTTACTTGCTGCCCCCCCGCCCCAGCTCATCTCTGCTCTGCCTCCTCCCACGAGCGTGCTGCAGCGCCGCTTCTCTCCCCTCCCAGGCTTGTCAGGCCAATCAGCTGATTGGTGTGGCAAGCCTGGGAGGGGAGAGAAGCGGTGCGCTCGTAGCAGAGGTGAGGTGGGGCAGGGGGGCCGCAGCAAGTATGGGGGTGGTGCACAGGAACCGCTCCCTGCCCCAGCTCACCTGGTGTGGGAAGCCTGGAAGGGAGGGGGAGAAGTGGAGCGGAGGTGAGCTGGGGCGAGGAGTGGTTCCTCTCCCTACCCCGATATAATGCATTCTCACTTACAAGATAGTAAGATTTTTTTGGTTCCCGAGGACCGCATTATATCGGGATAGAGGTGTAGTTGGGGCATTTATGCCACCATTGCTAGAGGAAGACCTACAGCTTCTTTTAGTAAATGGAAGCAGTTTTGAAAGAGTTTACACTTGGAAAAGTGATTGTGTAAAAATAACACCTTCTTACTCAGTAGAACTACTCCCCGCTGCTTATATGTTCAGTTTCTTCTGTTTGCTAGGGACAGAAAAAAACATTTTACTGCTTCTCTGAGCCAACCCAGTGGCGAGTGAGACGGATTCTATTCGTCCTTGGGCATCAACAGAATTGACCATGAAATTCCAGTTACAGGGCAAGTTGTAGACCTCTAAAAACCTATTAAAGTGAGAGAGACGGAGGGTGGCTTCATGCTTCATAGACTGGACTGGGACTCAGGAGAGTCACTGCTCTGCCAGAGACATTGTGTGACCTTGGGCAAGTCACTAAATCTTTGTGTGTAGGGCTGGAGGGGCTTTGAGTGGTCATCTAGTCCAACCTCCTTTCCCAACTCCCATCCCACACTGAGGCAGAACCAAGTATATCTAGACCATCCCTGACAGGTGTTTGTCCAGCCTGCTCTTAACCTCCCATGATGGGGATTCCACAGCTTCCCTTGGTAACCTATGCCAATGCTTAACTATCCTTAGTATTAGGAGAAATTTTCTAACTGTATCTAACCTAAATCATCTTTGCTGTGGGTTAAACCCATTACTTCTTGTCCGACCTTTAGTGGACATGGAGAACAATTGACACTGCTCTCTCTATAATAGCCCTTAATGTGTTTGAAGAATGTTATCAGGTCACCCTTCGGTCTTCTTGACTCAAGACTAAACATGCCCTGTTTTTTACTCTTTCCTCATAGGTCAGGTTTTCTAAACCTTTGATCATTTCTGTTGCTCTCTTCTGAACTATCTCCACTTTGCCTATATCTTTCCTAACGGGTGGTGCCCAGAATTGGACGCATTATTCTGACTGAGGCGTCCCCAGTGCCAGGGAGAGTGGGACATCTCCTGTGTCTTACAAAACTCCTGTTTTTGCACCCCAGAATGATAGTAGCCTTTTTCACAACTGTATCAATTGTTTACTGATGTTCACTTTGTGATCCACTGTAACCCCTGATCCCTTTCAGTGATACTGCCATCTAGCCAGTTATTCCCCATTTTATATTCATGCATTTGATTTTTTTTCTTCATTGAATTTCATCTTGTTGATTTCAGACCAATTCTCGAATTTGTCAAGGTCGTTTTGGATTCTAATCCTGTCCTCCAAAGTGCTTACAACCCCTTCCAGCTCGGCGTTATCTGCAGATTTTATAGGCATACTCTCCACTCCGTTATCCAAGTCATTAATGAAAATGTTGAATAGTACCAGGCCTAGGACTGACCTCTCTGGAACCCCATTAGAGTTACACATAACTGCTCTGTCAAGTTGGGGGGTATCAGTGGCTCATGTCAAGTATGGTCTTTCAAGCAGTTATGCATGCACCTTATAAAGTCATCTAGACCACATTTCCCTGTTTTGCTTATGAAAATGTCATGTGGTATGGTATCAGAAGTCTTGCTGAAATCAAGATATACCATGTCTACTGCTTATCCCTATCTACTATGCCAGTTACCCTATCGTAAAAGGAAATTAGATTGGTTTGGCATGATTTGTTTTTGATAAATTCATATTGGCTATTACTTATTACCCTGTTATCCTTTAGGAGTTTACGAATGGATTGTTTTAATAATTTGTTCCATTATCTTTCCATATATCAGTTCACCTGTAAAATAGGGATAGCGTTGAGCATAAAGTCACTAATGACTGTGCAGTGCTCAGATGTTATGGTGATGTGAGGGTTGGTTATAGGAGTACCTAAATGTGAGGGCAGAATCTGCCTGCAGAACCTTTTAGTGGTGATCAACAAAAAGGAAAGAACCCAGCTTGAGATTCAGATCCCAGGGTGAGTTTGCACAGCTCGCAATAATATAAACATTGTTTACTTGTGAACTGAGCAAGGCTGAAACAGGAAGGCACTCCTTCCAACGCCCATTTTAGTGTTACTGTGGAACTGTGCTCTTTAAAAATATCTTGCAATGATGTTGAAAAGCTGAACGTTTGTGTGATATCCTCTATCTTTGCACATGCGTATTAATGTCATCTGAGATGGGTTCACAGAGACTTCTTAAAAGATAAGTTGTCAGAGCAGAATCAGGACTCTGGTGGTCTCTTGCTGCTCTGCTACTGACTAATTGTACCCTTCAGCAAGTTACATAATCTCTGCCTCAGTTTACTTATCTGTGGAACTGGTATAAATGCTTTTTAGGGTGGTTAAGTTTGTGTTAATCCAGTTAGTCTCTCTTACAATGTGATGTAAGTTTCAAAAATTTATTTTTCATTTGATTGTGTTTTGCTATGTAGTGTTGGTCAATAGTGAAAAGAGATGAACTGTTGTGTAGTGATACTGTGTGACTTGTGGGTTGGTATCTCCCTCCTAGGTGGATCTCCACGAAATAGCCTTGAGGTTTTAACACCAGAAGTTCCTGGAGAAAGGGACCGTGGTAATTGCATTACATCGCTGCAGCTCCATCCCAAAGGATGGGCTACTCTTCTTCGGTGCTCAAGTAATACAGATGACCAGGAGGTAAAACAAACAAAAAAACCATGGCACATACTTAAAAACTTAGCACTTAGAATAAGAAGTGTCAAATCCTAGAACTGCATATCAAATTCCTTAATTGTAGGTGAACGTGGATTTTGCATCTCCATGGTTGAGTGCGGATTAACTTTTTCTGGTTACAATACACTGTTTTGGATTGAATTAGGAACGGGGTGACTAGTTGGTATTCAATTTATGCCATTTTCCTAATCTTTGCATTCCTATATTTAGGAATGATAGGAAGCGAACAGTAATGTGGGGAATCACCTGCTTTTCCTGACCACCATAGCATGCCTCTCTCTGGGAGATTTGCAGTGTGAATGTTTGTCCCATTCCATTTGTCGCATGGCATGCAGGTGAGAGCAGGGATTGGGTAGGCAGCCTGCATTTCAGTCTGAATGTGACCAGTAAGGACACAATCAAGGAAGAGGCGTTTGAGCTGAGAATTTGTCACTCTGACAATCTGGCAGAAGGAGCGTACAGTTTCTCACGGTAACAAGGACTTCAGGCTGTGCTGTCATCCGTCTGACTCGCCTGCCATGGTGTGCAGTAGGTAAACAGAAGCTGCACCTGAGCGCTCCAGAGGGCTTCAGCGGAGCTCCTTAAAGACAGGCAAACGTGAACTATGGAAACACTTGCAGCCAGGGGAAAATGTGTGGCCCTTGGCAAGAGAGCAAGGGTGCAGATCCAGAATTATGGAGTGTTCTTAGTCAGAGAATAGCATACCACCTCTTTTGCCATTCCTGGTGTTTTGCAGGGAAGAAGCATGTGCTAGCAAGTTGAATCACTGACCCTACATTACCTGTGTGCTTCACGCAGGACCCCAGGAACTCAACACCAAAGACCAGGAGGACCAAGTTGTTGCGTTTTTTGGGTTTTTTTTTAAATGCAAGTTTTGCCTTCAGGCTTTTGGTGGAGAAAACCACTCCTGCAAATCCAGAAGCTTGTCTACAGATAATGAGAGGCATCAGATTACACCATTGTTCTGAATAACTGTGCAGACATTAAAGCCTCAAGGAGTGTTCATAATAGCGTGTGGCGTTTATGTACGTGATACAACTTTGTATTCACAATACTTGGCTAAGCCAACAGTCTGCAGCAAATGTGATTCTTTACCAGTAGAGAATTTGTTGGCTGTCCTAAGCGTTTGACAACAGCAGTTCCTAAATATCATAGTATATGCCTGTTGGAGGTTATCAAGATATCTTGTTTAATTATCTGCTTATAAAAGAGAGGCTTGTGTGCGCTGCTCTAAGAAATCTGATGTTACACTGCTGGCTCCTTAGCAGAATATCTGTGGATCAATGAATACCCTTCTGGAGAGACTTTGGTGGTAGAAGTTAGCATCTTGGTGTAAAACCACTGTCATAGAGTTTAGGGCCAGAAAGGCAGCATTAGATAATCTTGTCTGATCTCCATTATATCACAGGCCATTAAACTTTTATCCAGTTACCCCTGTGTTGAGCCTGATCACTTGTCTTTAGCTAAAGCAGATCTTCCAGAAATGCATCCAGTGTTTATAATCAGCTGCAGAACATGCCGAGCTATCATTTGTGAGCCACCGATTCCATCCTCTAGCAACCTTCTCCATCTTTGAAATGGTGAAAATAAAATTGTCCCTGAAATCTCATTGCCATTGCGAGTTGTGCTGGAGCTCGCCTGAGTAGTGCTCTAGGAGACCGAGGGCATATATTCAGGTCACTTTCTAAGAGCAAAAAGGCTTATTTTTAATAACACGTGCCAGTGATAAACCACATTGTTTAGCTCCATCTGACACGTTTTGCATTGGAATGGCTTTGTTCCATACCAAAGCAACTTCCACGTTCTGCAAGTGTCTTGCAAAGTAATTACTGGAAGCTTGACAGACTTGCACTGAGATGGATAATGACTAGTCTATGAATTGACAATCAAACCATTGTAAGATGCATTGTGTTACTTCGCACTAAAAAGTACTTTCCGAAAATGCAGATAACTGAGTTTCCTTGGCTAATTCAATGTGAGTGGCCTAAATGTTTCTCTTCTAAGAAACCAGTTTCTAACTAGGACACGTGGCTGCCTCATTCTTTCCTGTGCACATTTACATAAAGAATTAGACTCCAGTCCATACATTATGACTTAGATCGAAAAATTGTTACAGGTTGCTTTCCCAGCTTTGCTCCACACATCTCATTACGGTTGGAAATCATGAAAATTCGTCCAAGCTCAAGTCACAGTGGTGTAAACTCCAACTTGTCATAAGCTTAAAACAAAAAACCTCACCACCCTTAGGTGCTTATGCTGCAAATTAAAATTCTCTACTGGTGGCTAGTCAGGACAAGCAGAACACAGAGCTGCCCATAATGGACAAGCATTAGTAACTTCAAGAGTGAGCTCCGTTACAATGCAGTCAGAGGTGCCTAGATACAGGATTGCCTTTCCCCATCTATATAGGGGCAAAGAAACATCCAAAATAAATGGATGATTATTGGATAAGCATAAAGGATGGAAAGGCTTTTATAAAAGGTTTTGATGATGCAGGAGGTAGCTTAGTTACAAAAGAAGCTGGTAATGATACAACTCAAATGAGACTGCATGGACAGATTTATGACTCGGGTCAGTTCAGTATAGTGAATTGTTCCTCTTACCTGTTGGCTACATAACTAAAGGCAGCTTCTACACTCTCTGCAAGGGTACAACCAGCTTCCTTTGTGAATGGTCTTGTGAGTGCTTCAGTAGATTAGTCTTGAGGATAATGAATGGAGTACCCTTCTTGTTGTTTTCAGAGGGATACCGAGTTCTGACCTTCTGTTAAAGCCAAACCTTTTCCTCACAGTTTCATGAGTAGGATACAAAACTTTGCCAGATTAAGACATAATAATGTTGCTAATAGTTGGTTTTTTACAAATATTGGAGTCTCTAAAGCTAGCGTCTTGCATTGTGTTTTCCAGTCATACAGCACTTCAATGAATTGTTGCAAAAAGTGAAATTCACATTTTAAATGTAAAGACTTCTATGTTGTGTGCTACAAATTTGCATTTGAATAGTGATTTCAGAGCACTGGTAAAATTCAGTGTTTTGCATTAACATCTGATTTACATTCACAATTTAAACCCCAATCCTGCAAAAATGTAAGTACATGCTTCACTTTAACCACAAGTAGTGCCATTGAGTTCAGTGAGATTGCTCGTGTGAGTAAAGTCACGTGTGCACCTCTTTTCAGAATCAGTGCCTTAAATGTGAATTGCAACGACCTGTTTAGTAGGCCAACAAATACAAAAGGTATGACCTTGTCCTCTCCCTAACTTTAACCCCAAAGTGCCAGAGTGGTTTTCTCTCTAGTTATTTGTTCAGCAGTACTTTGAGAAGCACTCAGTATGAATGAATGCCTTTTCCTAGGATACAGTTTCTAGATTGCCAACATTTGGATTAATGTTGGCTGGGACTAATGTACATATTGACATACTGCCAGTGATCTTCCTACAAAAGGTTTCTCTGTTTTCTTCTAAATGTTTTTTCCAATTTGTGTTGCGGTTCAAAGGGTGCAGAAATTGCAGTGTCTAATCATGAGTCACTGTATCGCAGTTCCAGTTGAGCCTCTTATTTCATTGAGTGTTTCCTATGCTGCAGTAGGTGCATCTTCTCTTCTATTGAGCAGCCCTGCATTTTACTTCCTCCAGCTAAATCAGATGTTGTATTTTGAATGATTTATTTTAGCAACAACATACCTGCTTCTGCACTGAGAGAAATCCTGTGTCAGTTTTACCTATTCGGTTTAAAGGCCTAAGGGCTGTTCTGTTTTAAAAAGCTCACAGCCATCAGTGGTATCAAAGGAGAGAGAAGTAAAGTGTTGGCTTTAGTTCCTGTGTCTCACTCCCTTCACCTACAAGGTGGGGTGAATGAATAACTGGGTTGCTCCTCGTGTATGTGGACAAATATAACTTTCCTCTCTCTCCCCGTCTAGTGGACCTGTGTGTACGAATTCCAAGAAGGAGCCCCAGTGCGCCCCGTCTCACCTCGTTGTTCTCTCCGATTGACTCACTGCATCGAAGAAGCCAATGTAGGCCGGGGTTACATCAAAGAACTTTGTTTCAGCCCTGATGGTCGAATGATTTCCTCCCCACATGGCTACGGGATCCGCTTGTTGGGATTTGACACGCAGTGCAGTGAACTTGTCGACTGTTTGCCCAAAGAAGCTGGTCCCTTGCAGGAAATTCGCTCTCTGTATTCACACAACGATGTGGTACTGACGACCAAGTTTTCTCCAACACATTGTCAGATTGCCTCAGGGTGCCTTAGTGGACGTGTTTCTTTGTATCAGCCAAAGTTCTAGGCACATCTTGCATCAACAGGAACTTCACAGATGTTTGTTTTTATAATTACTTCAGTTTGGTTGAAGTGTGTTCTTTTAACAAAAATCTTGTAAATGTGGACAAGATCATAATTACTATGGTCTGTGAACATAGCGATGAAATGAGTACTCAGTCCAGCACTGTGTGTGTTCTGACACTACAAGTCAGGCTCTGTGCATTCTGTTTTCAGCCTTCCATGCAAACCTTTGCTTCTGATGATCCAGTGCCACTGATTTCCAGGCTTTCTGGTTTCACAGTAGCACTTGTTGGTCTTTCAGCGTGACTTAGGGTGGACTATCTGCAAGATGTCTGGCTAGGGCGGAGGGAATTGTTACACCAAACAATGCCCACACATTTCCTGCTGGTACGATCTTTCCTTGCCACAAAGGAGCTGGACTTCCTGACATACTCTCACTTGGCCTCCGATTGCTGTAACTTTTCTCTACAACAATTAGGTAATGGAGCTGTTCTCCTGCACACTAGATTAGTTTAGCCACAAAGAAACACTTTCCTTTCACAATATAATGATTGACTAGAAAAATGTTTTCACCTTTCTGTAATGTTTTGCTATAGTTAAATCTCTTAGCTTGTTTTCCTTAATGTGCATACATTGTGTTTTATTATAAGATGGTAGAAGGTCAGGGTGGAGATGCATTTCCTCCGTGAATTCAGTAGGAAGACATTGCCATATTGAGCAGGGAAGCCAGAGTTGATCATTGCAAAGTTGTTGTTTGGAATGTTTTGACATAAAATTACAAGTTAAAAATGCCCCCGGCGGAGTAAGTTGTGCCCCAGACACTAAGGTTTCTAATTGCTGCCCTTGTTGTAGGAAGCTTTCCACATTAATAAAAAATCGTAATCACATTTTGTTTCGAAACGTAAGAAATGCTACACTCTAAGTTTCCCTTTGTGTTACCAAGGCTGAGCTGCATAATAAAATACCCTTTTGTAACATGCCCAGATCTTAGCCACCACCTTTGCAAAAGAATTAGCCTGCAGAGAGCCTGTTGTCATTCTGCCAAACGAAGCAGCCCTTCAGATTCCACAGTCAGTCTGGAACAGAGCACAGTATATACAGGCTAAATATATAATTATCTGGATTCAACTGGATTTTTCAGCAGCAAGAATGCACGGATATAATTACTCAGTTTCACTTATCCTCAGTGCTGTTTACCCTTCTGAACATAGTTGCTTCACTAGTAATCACAAGAACATAATGTTCTGAATATCATTTTTATCTGCAGAAAAAAAGATTGTCCTCTAGTGGCTCAAAACCCAACAGTGTGCAAGTGGATGTAGGTATAATTTCATAGTATGGGTAGAAAGCAAATGAATTTAATCATATTTAAAATTTGGAATTCCTATTGCATGAAACTAGGAACTAAACTTTTCCAGACTTGACAAGTGCACAGACTATCGTTAAGGAGGAGATGAACGTGGCTTCCTCCTAGTCCCCTTCTGGAGGCAGCAAACCTTTCTACATGCTCTTAGTAGGGACACTTGCTCAGCTACAGTACTAACTAGGTTAAAAAGTTTTTTTAAAACCCACAGTCAGTTTAAATATATAGGAATGAGACTTTACACTAGAAATTGCCAGTAAAAGACTTCCTAACCTAAATTGTACTTAGCTTATCCCTGAGGCTTTAGTAAGTGAAACACTCCTGGGGACTTGACCTGATTTGGACCCAGTGAAATGGGAGAATTTTGCCTGAAAGAATATAGATTTTAGTCCGCAGTGGTATCTGAAGGGATTTTAAACAAAATATACTTTAATGTAGATTGACTCTTGAACAAAAAACAGTCTGCAGAAGGCACTACAGGTCCAGGGTGGAAAATTAAATGCTGATTAGGTCCAGTAGATGAAGATCTGGAATCCTGCCAATGGACTGGATCACTCCATGAGTCATGCCCTGTGTGTGTGTACCAGAATGGATCAGTGGAACTCACTCTGAGTGGCTGGTGCCTCATGGGAAAGCTTTGGAGAAATTGATTTAGGAACCCAGCTGCTTTTTGCTACTGAGGGTATTTGCATGAAGATTGGATTGTTGTTGCTTTTGGAGGAAGGTTAATCTACTCCTGTGTCATCTCCTGTTTGAAATTATATTTAACTCCATAGCAACTAATTGTCTGAGGATTGAGTTCAAGTGACTGAACATGCAGCAACTGAGAAACAAAATTCCCTATTTCCGCACAAAATAAGCTGGAGTTGTTGAATCCTTCCCTACCCACCCCCATTTCTCCTGTATTAAATGAACTCTCTGTATAATAGCCTTGCGTTTTGAGGGGGCAGTGGCTCTTAACCTAGTCATACTTTTACGTTTAATGGAGCAAAGTCTAGGGCTATCCCTTCGTCGTCTTACAGCAACTGATGTACTCAGGTACTTATGCCCAAAATGAAAGGACATGCCTTAGATTCAGTGTGTTATTGAAGTGAAAACTGGGTACTACATGAGCTCTTTTATCACTGGCGCTACTACCAGGAGCTCAGAACAGCAGTGATGGGAGATGTACAAGTAAGTGATCAAATTATGTATTCTCTTGGCATTAAAAGCTTGTTTTAAAACAAATATACTAGGCTGTGGGAGCAAAATCATTCACTTTGACACCACTCAGAAGAATATGCACTAGAAATAAACCATTTTCAGCATAAAGCAAAATGATCAAGTCAAATAAGTTTACTTGTTTTTTCTCAAAGAAAAATAAAGGGGATTGAGTGGCTGTAGTGGGACACATGGTCCTACATGCCAGTTTTACTCATCCTATAAAATGACTTGTCCAAAATGCAAATTATTGAAATGAAAAATCCCTTCAGTCTTCACCTGCCTTTGTTATGTATCTATTTTGTACTGTTCAATAGTCTGAAAATTTAATTCTCAGTCAATTTGGATTTGTTGAATGAGGGTAGGTCTGCTTTCAAGGTATTTTCCTTCTTTATGATGTAAGGGACTACAAATTACATTAAATACCCAATGTACTACTGTGCATGACCAGGATGCAAGCTTCTGATCTGCAAAGAAGTTAAACTCCTGTGGAGACTGTCTCTCTAATTTGGAAACAGTTTTTAGATTAGGCTTTATATTTAAAAAAAACAGTTTACAGAGGAACAGGAATCTGCTGTTATCTGTGTTTGGGTGGCAGAACTCCTAGATATAAATTGTGCTCTTGAAATGAACCGTAGTGGAAGATTTACAGCTCACAGACCAAAGGATGGCAAACCGGGTTAAGTTTGTGTAGCCTTTTAGTACTAAGTTAATTTTAAAAACCAGAATGAAGAGTATTTTCTCAGCCAGCATGCACATATGCAACTATCATACCCATTAAGAATAGTATATCCCTACAGAATTATGTAGGACCCTAATTCTCCAGCTTTTCTTTCTGTGGACCACTTGATAAGGAAAAGTTCTTTCCAGGGACCATCTTGTCTCAGAATACCCCAGTCTGCTTCTCCTTGGCTTGCTAAATAATTTGCTGAAAAGATCAACGGTCAATCCTTTCGAATTGCTCTAAAGTACTGTCTGCCCAGGTGTATTGATTCGAAATGCAGAAAAGCACCCTGACATAACTGCAGCTTTTTGTAATTTCTATTCAGACTATCAGAATTCCTTGAAATGAAATGCTCATTTCGCATTTTTTTTTTTTAAATCTATGCCTGTCGACATGCACTGAGTATTATTTTTAATTCTACCTCATGACATGCTTTTTTTTAAAAAGGTTATTGCTCTGAAACATTTGACACGAATTTTTCTGTATAAATAGAGAATTGTTACTGTGTTAAATAGATGACATATAGCGACTACTGAAAATGCACAGCACCGGGAGCGACCATCTAAAACAGCTCATCACTTTGAAGCGAGACCATTGAAAAGTGCAAGGCTGATGATAGAGGTTGCCCTGTTTTGGGGGGGTTGACCGTGTTTTGTGGTGCTTTGTAGTGTATGTATAGTGTGTTGTAGGAGCAGATACATGGACGGAATTGGTCTTAATATAAAAATGTATGCTGTAAGAATGTTGCCTAACTTTTCTGATTACATTTTGCAATAAGTTGAATTAGAATGAAATAATTTTCGGTTGTGATTATTTAACTACTCCTTTCAATAATAGCTGGAAGTTTTCAGTGAAAGCAAATAGATTTTACTTCAGTATAGTTAACGGTACCTTGAAACACTTTGTGCAGTGATGCATAACGGACTAGTTAGATGCCTTGCAGTTATAGCTCCAAAAAATTATTCTCACCATTTTTCATCTTTCTAAATCACATTATCTTGCCTTATGGAATTAACAAAGTGACTTGGGGTGAGCTTTGGCATTTTTTTCTAGGTAGCAGAAAAGTTATACACTTGCTTTGCATTAAATTCTGAAAGACTAACCCTCTTCCATCCCAATACTATATAAGGAGCAAAATGGGTTAAATAGATAACCCCAGAATTAAGGTAGTGGTTTATACCAATCATTTTTTATCATTGTTTTGTATTGGTATATTTTATACCACTCAAGTATTAAACCTATTGCTAAATTTTAAAGTATTTCTCTGCGTTAGTGATCTTAGCTGGACTGTGAAGTGTGCAATATACTTTCTAAATGCATGGTTCATATTCATTAGTTACTGTAGTAAAGTGTAATTCTTCCATCTTCAGCATGACTCATAAGCAGAAGCAGATCTCCATAGGAATGTTTACTTTTTAGAAGTGTTTATGAAAACCACGCCTAGTGTGTTTGAAGCCAGTAACTCTTGTATTTGTCCAGTGACCATATTGTTGAAGTGAAGTGCATTTTTCACATATTCCTCTAGAGGTCAGATTTAAATCACCAGAGCACTGTCAACATTTTTGGCAAGGGAAGAGGTAACTGAGTAAAAATGAAAGTTTAAAAAAAGGTTTGTAGCTCAGTGAAAAGATCTAGCTGGCATGTCTCTATTTTGAGGTGGGGAGAATGGGGAAAAGCAAAATATATCTAGACACACACTAAAGGACTGAAGCCCAAAACTTGGCTTGCTTTATTGTTAATCTGAAATCTCCTAGACAAGATTCTAACTGTTTACATGGAAAATGTACTAGTGAAAACTAACATTTTTTCATTGATCCTACAATATTTAGGAGGAGTGCAAACACTGTTCCTTGAGGATGCCACAAATAATGCTAGTACAGAAAAGTTTAGGTATTGCAAAATAAAACTGAAGTCTTAGTTAAACAGAAGAGCTCTGAAATTCAGGCTCTTCATAATGCAACAAATACATTTGCCGCATGGAAACTTAAAAAAAATCCCTAGTTTCCAAGATTATGATAAAGAAAAATACCTGCCTCTTTTCCCCTTATAGCTTGATTGCTCTGTTGGAAGGGGGGGGAAAGCATGATCTTAGTCAATGGTGCATTCTCTGCTACAATGATATTAGTATTCAACAGGGTCTCCAACCAACTGTAGAAGTCTTTTTTAATACAAGAGTAAGCTATGCGTGTAGAATATTTTGAAATAATCAAAGTTTCATAGTCAGAGGGGGTAGACTTTTAATACAATACATACCAAGTAGCAGAGCTGTTCTGAATATACTGTACTTGCTCCTATTCAGTAACTTGTACTGTTTGTGAACAGTTTCTCTTGCTTGCAAAATAAATTAAACATTTAATAAAGCAATTCAGTGCATTTTTCCCAATGTTAAGATATATTCCATACTTCTAACAGAACCACATAGGCTGGAGAGCTATTAACTGCACTATTTGCTTCCAGTCCTAGCCACTCCTTCAACTTGAGAATCTTTATTTCACTAAATATTATATCCCTTTCAAGGGGTGAAAAAGAACCAGTCATTCACAAAAATAAACAGTCAATCTTTTTGCACACTGTCAGTGTTTGCTATTATCACAGCTTTTGCCTTTGCTAGAGAAGGCTCTGGAGATCAGATGTAGCATCTGGTACAAAAGAGCAACCTACATTACTGTATCTCCACTTTTATTAGATTGACTCACCTGGTGCAAGAGACTGGTACATCAAACCACCTATCTACATCTCATACAATGCTGGCAGTTAGGAAATATGAAATATGGGAAATGCATGTAACCCCAGGAAAGGCAACCAAAAAAAAACCTGCCCACATTTATTCAGATTAATCTAATAGCAAGAATAGGTACAAACATTTAAGTTGTTCACCAAGATGGGGGTAATAAGTCAAAAGTTAGCTTAATAAAATTTAAGCAGAGATATTTTGTAACAATCTTCCACAATGCCAACTTGTGTCCATCAGTATGTTTTCTAATACCCCATGTGTCTGAATCAGTACCCTAATAGCTTGGTACTCTGCTTTTACTGATTTTCCTACTTCATTTTGATACTGAGCAGAGACATGAATAATGTTCCAGCTAGCCTGACTGGAGTCAGATGGACTTCCCTGCTCCAGCACATCTCTGTAAATGCAGCTTACAGTCTAATTCCCATGCTTTCATGTATTTATACCTGCTCCTGTATTTTCCACTCCATGTATCTGATGAAGTGAGTTCTAGCCCATGAAAGCTTATGCCCAAATAAATCTGTTAGTCTCTAAGGTGCCACAAGGATGCCTCGTTGTTTCAGTCTAATAAGGGTTCTCTTCTCCCATTCTCATCAGTGCTCCTTAATCCATGCTTCTGTTTTGGGTCATTTGACACAAACACTTATTCCTAGAACAATCTAGCCTCTGTAGTAACTAGACTGAACTCCTTGGGAGCAGGGACCATACTTGTATTAGCACACTCTCCCACCTCAATCATTCTTTCCCACGCCTGCATCCAATTCGTTTTTGTCCATTTTAACACTGTAGCTCCCTTGGTACTATTTATCTTACTGATACTGGCTACCCATCCCAGTTTACTAAACTGCACAGTACATGTTCCTCCAGCTCAGATGAAAATAGTAATCTGGACCTACTCAAATACTAATTTGTTGCATTCTGCCACAACCTACCTGTCTCTAACTTGACACATTGTTTATCATTAACCTTTGCCTACAGACTTAAGGCCATCCAATAATCCTCATATTAAATCACTGGAATATAATTTCCGATACTATCAAATCTTTATTAAACCCAAGAGATCTCATCTTTTGCATTCCCATTAACTTCACTGACAACTCTCCTGTACACAGAATATAACCAAGTTGTATAATTCTGTTAAGAGACATTTAGCCATGCCTGACATCCTCTTTAAACTCCTGATAACCATGACCTAAAAGTTGAAAATGGAGTTGGAAGAGGTTCTTGGCTCTTCCCTTGTGAAGTGGTGTATAGTAACAAACCAGCATGAGGCCAAGCCTCAACAAATGTTCTGTTTTATTGAACTATAATTGCTAACACTCGCTTTGTTTGCTCCAACTTATGTTCTTTTCTCAAGTGCCAGTAACACACTATTAGGAAAAAATAAAAGTATAAAATATGTGCTACAAAAAACTAAGGCCAGGGAAACAGATTTTCTTTTGTTTTATTCCATCAAGGAAAGGTTACAAAAACAATACACTGGTAAAATCAGATTCCACCAGTAACATCCAACAGACAGTATATTTAAATCCATAGAATCACAACATTCAAAATATCAATGTGCTTTATTTGTGTTTGGCTATCTTTGACTGTGAAGCTTCGTAGTATAGAGCTAGATTATAAAGAAATAGGACATACTGTTTGGGAGTAATTATTTAGGGGCAGTTATGTCAAGTGAACAACTGAAATGGGGTAAGAAAGTAAAAACCATAAGCATTTGAAAACTTAAGGATACATAAAGTAATGTTCACTCTAAAATTAAAAAAACATCCAAAATTTCTGAAAGCTTTCCTGGTCACCACAAAATATGAAAATACTTTATGAATCATTTTTGCATAAAAATATACAAAAAAATTAGTCATTTTTTTATATGAAGACCACTAGTTTGGTAATCACACTTGTGTTCCTGCCCTCTCTTCTCCAAGGCCTTAAAGCACATCCACCTGAATACCAAGTACATTACCTTTTGTTTAATATTTATGAGAGTGTTTATCAACATGATTAAATGATCACAGAGAAACCCCCAAGCCCAGCGCTTATATGGTCCTCCTCGCCATAGTATTGGAGTGCCTTTTCCACTACAGTGATATACCCTGAACAAGGCATAAAATGGAGGGTAGAGCAAGTTTCAGCTAAAAATACTGACTGAAGTGATCAGTTATGCTACCACCTCACATGAAGGAAGTAAAAATAGTTGCAAAAGGACATATGTTACCTTAATACAACAAAAGCTGTCTACAAAGTACTTTGACTCCCGTCAGTTTTCATACGACTTCTGTACATGTTAATGTTGCAGAAACCACGTTATCTTTCTGGCGCCATGCCTGTTTGCAACGGAAACTAAGCAGCACAAAAGACAAAATAAAAGACTCTACATTCACAAATAGGTGATACTGTAACATGAAGGACACTTTAAAGCTTTTTAGATAAAATTTGTTTCATTTCCCCGCCACCGCCCCCCCTCACCCGCTACTCCCTTATCACATAAGTACACATACCCCTACTTTGCACTAGATCAGCTTATGCTGAAGTTGAAAATGTAGGCTATGTCTACACTGCGGCACAGCTGTGCCGCTGTAAGGTCCCCGGTGTAGCCACTCTTTGATGGCAGGAGAGAGCTCTCCTGCTGGCAAAATAAAGTCACCTCCAATGAGGGGCAGTTGCTTTGTGGGCAGGAGAGCATCTCCTGCCGATAAAGCACTGTCCACACCAGTGCTTTTTGTCGTAAAAAAATGGTTAAAAAAGTGCATTGTAGACATAGCCTTAGTAGCTACCTTATGTTGCTTGACAAGATGGCATTCATATTAGGAGACTAGCAAAAACCAGCTGGCAAAAATAATTCATGTAGGCTTTGTTGAATCTTAAGGCTTAGTTGAGAAGTAACACCATCCTCATTAAAAGTTGGCAGTCTGGTTTCAAACAGTAAAGATACCTGGGAAACCTGAAACATTATGGGAGTTCAGAGTACTCTTACAACAACTGCATCAGCTACATCATACCTTCCAAGTTTACCAAGTAGGGAAACTAAATAGCTTTTGTCAGCCTCCCTCACTTTCATATTCCACAAAGTGCACAATCAAGCATAGTTTTGATCACCAGGAGTGTTAGGAAAGGTTGAGGGTGACCTGGAGTAAGTTTCTAGGCCAAGGCCAATATTTAAAGAGAAAGTAAGTTTCAATTAGTTTATTCAGGTATGGGTGAATTCACCTTCCAGCATCTAAATACTTTAATAAAGAGCGCACTTTTGAGCAAACTGATTTTTCTTAAATTAAGATCTAGACACAATGCCAACATTCACCCCATAAAGATTGAAGACCATTAATGAAGACTGACTGTAATTACCTTTCAGACTAAGCAGGCATTGGTAAAAATTACTTCTCTCCCTGCTGTAACCACCGTTTTGCAATTAAGCTCTCCAAATTTCAATGTTATTCATGAACAGGTCTGATTATGACAAATTTGATCCTAGGAAATAAGTAACCTCCATGTGCCACTACCCAACTGAGCCAAGGGACTTCATAGAAGGTAACATTTTTCATAATAACTTAAGCAAGAATTCATATGTTGCATTGATTATGCCCCAGGATATAATAGAGCGATGGTAATTCAGATGAGCTCCTCTGAAAAGACGTGTCAGTTTTCTATCACGTTCCAGCCAAATCTTCATGAAAACTTTTGGAAAAGACTGAAATTCCCCACCAATTTGAGATTGCATGCGAGCTTTTACAACATTCATTGGGAAAAACAAGAATCCCAACATGGCACCCAACAGTCCTCCACAGATAAAGTCATTGACCAAATGAGCACTATAAGAAGTTGCTTCAGGCAGACACTGTTTGATGGGTCCTCGCAGACCAAAAAAGAGTACATTACTCGGTCCATTTCGGATCAGAATAGGTACCAAACCCCGATAATATTCTTTAATTCCATAGTCTTTTAGCACCTTGAAAGCCTGGTAAGTGTTTGTAAATCTGTCATGATGTTTGTAGTCCTGAAGCAAAGTCTGGACCCGCTCAAAAGGTGTAAGAAGAGCTTCTGTGGTTCCTGCAAGCACTGCTGCCACACTGCAAGTCACAAGTTCAGGTGCATTTGTGTGCCTCTGGAGCAGGGAGGAGAAATCCTGATACAAGCCAAACATCAGGGCAAGAGTTGTAGTTTTCTGCATTAATGGAGGGAGGAGTCCACGGTACAGGTTTCGGATTCCATCGTTCTGTAACTGACACACTGCATCCCTTATTCTCACTCCATACAGTTGTTGTCGAAAGAGGACCTTCTGGATGGGAAAGGTGATTGCTATATTGGTGAAGGCTGCACAATATCCACAAAAATAATGTTTACCCGAGCTAACTTTTACAATGTGATGAGCAATATCTTGCTTTGAACTTGTTAGGACAAGATCTTCTGAATCCATCATACTGCTCTTTCTTTCGTCATACGGGTGTTGTCCTCTCCTACATCGAGAAGGCAAAGGAGAACGTGAACGCAGCTGCACAGAACCCCACTTTCTTTTTTTTATTCATGTATATAAATCCTTTGCATGCATAAAGTCTTCAGGCAATTTCATGAAAATTCAGAGGAACAGAATGATAAATGCCACATTTGATCGCTCACACATGTACAAGTGGTTTCAGTGGCTGCATTACAGCTCTCAAAGAACTGAAAGATTTATACATTGTTCAGCTAACTGACACAAGGTAGGGTAAAAAAGCAAGGAACTTTTTTGTTGATTAAATGCAAAAAGTTATACACAGAAATAAATTTTAAAACGAAGTGGCATGTGCCATGTGCCATGTGAAAGCTGAAAATGTAAGTGGAAGTTAGGAAATTCAGAAGTTAAGGTTCCTACACTACACATTAGTAATTTTGACAATTGTTAATACAAAACAAATCAATGTATGTTTTTGTTTTTTTAAACTTGCTATTACAAATCATCTTGACTATTCAGACTCATATTTTACATGACCCTGTAACAGACCAAACCTTATCTGTAAAGAACACATTTGCTATGGAGTAGAAATTACAGATCACAAACTATAGAAAATATGGGTATAGTCTCTAAAGAACTGTCTACACTATAACAACTTAGCTCAGGGAAAGTAAGTAGTTGGACAGATGTCAATTAGCAACCTACATGGTTTTATCCAAAGGCAGAACACCACAAAAATATAATGGGGATGGGTCGAATGGAATCCGAATCGGTGCTGAGTGTACAATTTTGAAAGATCTTTTGGGTAAGTGTGAGATGCATTAAGGCAGGGGTCCCCAACACGGTGCCTGCAGGCACAATGACGCCTGCCGGGGCAGTTGTGTGCACCTGCAGGATACCGCACCACCAAAACGCAACCGAGAAGCGTTGCCGTTTCTTGGCGGCTTTTCAGCGGCGGGGCTTCTTTCCGCTGCCGCTTCTCGGCGGTGGGGTGTTTGGCGCCCGCCACACTCTGTTGGAAATAAGAATGTGCTATTCCCACAGAAAGGTTGGGGACCACTGCATTAAGGGATGGAAAATAAAAACCCACACGACCTGATTACATAGAGAAACAGCATTCCATAAAATACTGAATGCAACCTGAACATACAGTGGGTTTGGGGATGGGAGGAGAGAAGTTACCCCACTTAAGCAAACCATAAATTCAAATGTGGCTTGTCAAAATGGTAAGGTAATTTAAATAACTATGTCTGCATACTTGGCTATGCTATAATACCAAGTAAGTATAAAGAGCTGACTCCAGAATTATAATTAATCAATCCTAGGTGCACATATTGTCCTGTTAAAGGTCAGAGAAGAACTGGGACAACAAGTGAGTTCTTAATACAAGTATTATCTACAGAGAGTTCTAAATATCTGCAATTTCAAAGTTTTGTGACCTACCCGAGAAAAGCTAGGGTGTCTTAGACCCAAGTATATTATTTGTGTTTGGTTTTAATATAATTTTTTCCTTTCTTTAACATCTGATTTTAGGCTATATTGTTTGGAAATTTCATTCAGTTCCAGAATAGTTAAATATAGCTCAGACTTCTAAAGGAGATATTTAAAGGTGTCTAAACTCTAAAGCCTACTCTGCTTTGCATTCTCCATCAGAAGGCATGAGCACATGGCAGAGGTGGGCAAACTACGGCCTGCGAGACCCTCCTGTCCGGCTCCTGAGCTCCAGCCGGGAGGCTCGCCCCTGGGCCCTCCCCTGCCATCCCCCCTCCCCTGCAGCCTGAGCGCGCCGCATTGCCAGCGCTCTGGCCCGCCGCTCTTGCAGGGCAGCACGGCTGGCCTCAGTATGGTAAGGGAGCAGGGGGTCCCAGGGAGGCAGTTAGGGGTCAGGGAGCAGTTGGATGGGTCAGGGGTTCTGGGGGGGCCAATCAGGGAGCAGAGGGCGGTTCGATGGGTCAGGAGTTCTTGGGGGGGGGCAGTCATGGGACAGGGAGCAGGGGTGCTTGGATTGGTCGGGGGTTCTTGGGGGGGCAGTAAGGGGACAGGGAGCAGTTGGACAGGACGAAGGTTCGGGGGAGGCGGTCAGGGGATGGGGAACGGGGGGGTTGGATAGGGTGTGGAAGTCCCAGGGGGCCTTTCAGGGGTCGGGGGGTGTGGATAGGAGTTGGGGCAGTCAGGGACAGGGAGGGTTGGATGGGGGTGGAGTCCCAGGGGGGCGGTTAGGGTCTGGGTTCGGGGGGGGGGGCAGTCAGGGGACAGGAACCTGCCATTTTCTCCAATGGTACTCAGAAGTACCTAGGCTACTTTTCAGTTAAACTTTATTGCCAGCAATATAGTCCTCGAGCATTATGAAGAAATATAAGTTTTGGTTTGCGCCTTTGTTGTCAATGCCTGTAAATCCCTACAGCTGTTCTAATACCACCCAACTCTTATAGAAAGCTTTTCTCATCAATAGATATTAAAGCCATTTAAAAAGGAGCTAAGCATCATTATCATCCCCATTTTACAGATGGGGAAACAAGGTCACCCAGCAGGCCAGACCCCAGAATGTCAGCTCAGTGCTCTACCCACTGGGCTACACAAACAACAGTAGGGTGAGAGAACTGTGCGAAGGGGATACTATGCATCCCATTGCCTTTTACCTTTTTGTACCCATTTAACATGACAATGATGAAAGATTAGGAATCTTCCTGACTTTTGGCAACGAGGTCCCTGCTGTGCACTACGGAAAGTTAGTAAGTGAACATGACATCACCAATTAGAAAGTGGGTTTTGATGACCTGTACCTAAAACATCTAATTAACAACCTGGGTACCAGTACTGCAGACTTCCATGCACACCACCATGCCTCATTTCTAGAAGTGAAAATGTAGTTCAGTCTCCATGTCTTTAGTCTTAGGATATGTCTACACAGGAAGCACATTACCAGGACTGTACAGGAATACCTGTCAACTATACATGCAAAGTACTCCTACTGTGAACATAGCTTTACTGGCAGAGCAGCAACTTGTACCAGTATAGTAAAAACACCCCTCTGAACAAAACAAGCTGTACCAATAAAAGTGCCGTTTTGATGGTATAACTCCATCCTCACTAGGCGTGTCTGCCAGCACATCTGTGTTGTCAGGGGTCACAGCTCTGACCAATTATAGCTATGCCAGCAGAAGTCTTTACTGGAGATCTGGCCTTGGTCTCTGCTAAAACAAACTAGAAGAGTTCCAATTATAAAGACAAGGGCTTTTTAATATTTGTTTGTTTAAATTTGGCCACATGTTCATTAGGAATTTGACTGAGACCACCAAATCATTCCATATAGGTCACGCAGAAGCCACCTTTGGTAACTTTAGACTAATACTAGTTTGGGACATATCTGAACTAGTTGGCCTACAAGTAACATGCTCCCTAATTCCCTGCATCACCCACTTCCCCAGGTCTGAGGTCTTCAGGGACTTGTCCATAAAAGCAAAAAGGGTGCCTCCTTCAATCATTTTAGCTGAACGTGACTGAAAAGCCCTAGTAACATACATGTAGATGCAGGCTAAGACCTCTGAATTTGTGTTAGCTGGTCATATTTTAGCCTTTTTTACTCGGGTAGTCGAGACCCTTGTGAGAAAATATATAGTCTATTACATTTATTATTTTGGTGCAAAGAGGACTAAAACCATGTAAAGGCAGGAAAGGCACAGAGGTGGGTAACACTGGGATTTGTAAAAAGAAAAGGAGTACTTGTGGCACCTTAGAGACTAACCAAATAAATTGGTTAGTCTCTAAGGTGCCACAAGTACTCCTTTTCTTTTTGCGAATACAGACTAACACGGCTGTTACTCTGAAAACTGGGATTTGTTAGTTCAAAGCCATATCAGGAGATAAAAATGTATAAATGTAAACAAGCAATCATACACTGAGGACAGTCTAATGCAGGCCACTCCTGGTAGACAGGATACTGGGCTGGACAGACCTTTGGTCTGACCCATTATGGCCATTCTTATGACACTGCTGCAAACCGCTGACAAGACAAACTCAACTAGTACATGACAAGCCTTACATGAACGTTTAAGCTTGGTTCTACTCCAAAAACTGACTCTAAAAATGGCATTGTCTCACTGATTTTTGTATCAAATTGCCCAAATTTGCAAATAACAGAATTTTTTTCTAAATGCCAACTGGATGTTTAATTGGGGGAGGGGGGGTGGAATAAATGGTGATACTCTCTGAAAATCTTCTCATAACCAAAATTCCACCCACTAAAGATGCTAAAATGGGATGCCACTCAGATTGGCTAGATCCTCATAAGAATGTCCCTTTACTTATCACATTCTTTGATCAAAGTTAAATAGTTAACTATGATGACATTTACGTTATTACGCTTCAGAGTTAAATCTCCCTTTAAACGAATAGGGACAATTCAGACTTCCCTTATAACTGTTTCTGATCAGGCAGACTTAACTATACATTGGTTTACATTTGAAGATTACCTTCACAGCTACTAAAGGCTAAAGATTTTATTTTTAAAATAAATTTTACATTCTGGAGCAAGAGGTAGTCACCAAAGAAAATCACTGGCTAACCTAAATCAGGGGTGGGCAAACTTTTTGGCCCGAGGGCCACATCTGGGTGGGGAAATTGCTTGCAGGGCCAGGGCAGGGGGTTGGGGTGCGGGGGCAGAGTGTGGGAGGGGGTGCGGTGTGCAGGAAGGGGCTCAGGGCAAGGGGTTGTTGCAGAGGAGGGGTGCAGGCAGTATGGGGGGGCTCATGGAAGGATGTTAGGGTGCAGGAGGGGGCTCAGGGCAGGGAGTTGGGGTGCAGAAGGGGTGCGAGGTGCAGGCAGGGGGCTTAGGGTAAGGAGTTGAGGGGCAGGGTGCAGGAGGGGTTCAGGCTCTGGCCCGGCGCCACTTACCTAGAGCGGCTCTGGGTTGGCAGCGGCATGCACCGGAGCCAGGGCAGGCTCCCTGCATGCCTGCCCTGGCCCCATGCTGCGCCGCTCCAGGAAGCGGCTGGAACCACATCCCTGCAGGGAGAGGGCCCACAGGGCTCTGCGTCTTTCCCTCACCTATGGGTTCCTCCCCCGAAGCTCCCATTGGCCGTGATAACCCGTTTCTGGCCAATGGGAGCTTTGGGGGAAGTACCCACAGGCAAGAGCAGTGTGCGGATCTCTCTGCCGCTCCCCTCCAACCCCAGGGGCTGCCGGGACATGGAGTGGCTGCTTCCCGGAGCGGCGCAGCACCACTGCGGTGGCAATCCTGCGGGCCGGATCCAAAGCCCTGAGGGGCCGGACCCTGCCCGCGGGCCGTAGTTTGCCCACCCCGTCCTAAGTGCTGGTAGAAGGTAGAACATAGAAAGATGTCCTCCAATCCCACAACACCGCAGTGCAATTTCTTGCAGTTACTATCATCCTTTACAGCCTTTCGGTAGGTGTTACAAGAAACAGATGGTTTTAGGGTCCCCATGCAAAAAAAAAAAAAAAGTTGGAGCACCACTGGAGCCCAGAAGCAGCTTAGAATAGGATCTAAATTTAGAACAGAAGGTCCCTCCCTGGGAAAAAAAGGTTGAGCCAACTTCTAAGCAGGTTTTTCTTGTGCTTATAATTTTCCTTTGCATTCACTCCCAGCTGAGAGCTTTTTAACGTTCTCTACTTTCCCCAAGCTATAAGGACAGTTTCTTTTAATTACCTAGTTTTCTTTATGTTCATTCTTTAAAGGGGCACAATCAACATAAAACTCGTTTTGAAAGTTTGCATTAACATTGCAGATTAAGTCATCAAAGAACTGTAAAAGTCTAATTTATTTTTCTCCTGGTATGCTGTTTGCTTTGTTACAATTCAATCAGCTAGAACACTAAAGAGAGACTCATTCAGTTTCAGCTTTGTTCCCAAGGCATTTTCACTTTCTATGGGTATGTCTACACTGCCCATGTTACAGCGCAGCTGTGATGTGGACAGCGTAGACACGCTTTATCACCCGAGGGAGGGGGGGTTCTCACGGCGATAAAAAAACCCACCCTGCATGAGCAGTGGTAGCTTTATCTCTGGGATGAAGCGCTGTCTATGCTGGCGCTTTTCAGCACTAAAACTTTTGTCACTCGGGGGTGGGGGGTGTTTTCACCTCTGAATGACTAAAGTTTTAGCGCTGAAAGTGGCAGTGTAGACACAACCTGAGTCTCTTCATATATAGAGTTGAAAAGCAAGAAGAGACCATCAGATCACCTTGCCTGGCCTCCTGTATATCACAGGCCACCCGCACACGATACCTAACAACCAAAATGAGATCAAACCAGGGTAGATAAAAATTTGATTTTTTTAATTTAAATCAGGTTTTTTAAATTTATATTATGAGGAGTTATTTTTAAAAATAAAGCTGCTTAAAATGAAATATGAAGTTACCATAAGTCACTCAAAACATTTAAATAAAACTGAGCCTCTATCAAAAACGGAGTTAAAAGCTGTTTCTCTATATAAAGGAAGATGTTTTTCCCCATTCTAACTTTTGAGGTCAAGCTTTATAAATATGGCACAATTGGTTAGTAGGAGATGGTCTCATTTTCAAGAGACCAAAGCTATGTCTACACTAGCATTTTGGTGAGTAAAATTTATGTCGCTCAGGGGTGTGAAAAAAACACCCCTCGGACTGACCTAAGCTGTGGACTGCACTATGTCCGCAGGAGACACTCTCCCATAGCCTTAGGCTGGAAGGAACTTAAGCTCCTTCACTTAAGCATATTTGAAAGTTTTTGAAGGTTGGCCTGAAATGATCAGTTTAGTTCACTGACTACAGTTAATCCCTCTGTCTAATAAATCATTTAGTTGTAAATGTGAAATATGTTTTGATGAGAAGTGTATGTATCCAAACATTTAAGGGTTTTTTTTAAATAAAAAATAAGTTTTATATATGCTTTTTGTGTATTTATATGCCAGTTACCCTTCTGCTTCAGCTCGACACAAATCATGGGGGGAAAGTTAATTGTCCAGAAAATAAGCAATATATCATTCACCATTTTCTACTATACTAAAAACGTACAACAAATAAGACTGAAAATACTAAGCTATATAATAGCTTAAATAAGTGGACAATTATCGTGTGCCCTCCTACGTGCACAAAGATGTAACAAATCCCGTGTAAAGCCTCTGTTTAGCTGCAAGTGAGGACCATTAAAGCAGGTGACCAACCAGTGAGAACATGCCTTTCTTCCCAAAATACACTTCTCCATTTGTACTTCAGTTATTTAAAAAAAAACTGAAATAAAAAAGCGCTTTCAACGGAGGCTTTCCCCGGGCTCCGTGCACCCCGAAGCGGAGCCACACAGCCCAGGGGAGAGCGGACTGTGACACGCCGGCGCGGAGCGCGGGAGAGGGAGGCGCGCCGCTGCCCCGGCACAGCCAGGGGAAGGCGGGAGCTGCAGCCACGCAGCCCGGGCAAGTGGCCGGCAGCCGCTCGCTGGGGGCGAAGGTGACCCCCCCGCCCCCGCCACAGGGCCACCGGGGAGAAGACCCCTGCCCGCCCCGCACGGCCCCGGGGCGCACGCCGAGCGCGCGAGGAAGACCCCGCCGGAAGCACAGGGCGCGGCCCACACGGCACTGACATTACGGCGGGACCCTCGGATCGGGCTGCTCCCGCTGGGGCCCCGAAGCCCGACCCCGGCGGCGCGGCCCCAAGCGCCCGAGCAGCGGCTCGAGCCAGCGGGAGGGCGGGCCCCGCGCGGCCCCCCAACGCTCCGCCCCGCGCCCGTGCCAGGAACGGCGGCCGCGGCGAGCGGGGGCGGGTCGCACCCAGCCCCCACAGGCGCCAACCTGTCCCCTCAGGGCAGGCCCCGCGCGCGCGGGGAGGGGCGGCGACTCACCCGCGCCGGCTCCATGGCCGCTCGCGCGCGCTGACAGGAGCCGGGCCCGGCACCCTCCTCCTCGGCCACCGCCGGCCCAGCCCGACAGCCCCCACTCTGCGCGTGCGCGTGTGCCGGCCAGCAGCGGCATGTGACCTGGACGCCCGGACCCGCCCCCCTCCACAGGGCGGTGGCGAGGCAGAAACGCGCCACGTGACCAGCGAATGTGGCATGGCCCCGCCCCCCTCACCGGCTCTCGAGCCCCCAGTTCCGACCCAATCAGCTGCAGAGCCGGCCCCTGCGTCGACAGGGTCTCGCGCCAGGCCTGTGTGCGCGCGCGCGGAGCGCGGGGGTCAAGGGAGGCGAGGCAAGGGCGGCCGGGGGCAAAGGGAAGGCGTGAGCGGGGGGCGGGGCTCCGCAGGGGCGGGGGGCGAGAGGCCCTGTGAGGAGCGGGCGGGCCGGCCTGTGCCAGGCGCTCCCAGCCCGGACCCCTCCCCCCCCGAGATAGTCCAGCAGAGCCCCCAGACCCCCTCGCCTGCACTGGGGGGACTCCTGCGCCCCCCTCGCCCTGCACAGCGCCCAGCTCGGCCCCCCTCCTCTGCTGCCTCGCCGATCGCTGGGCGCTCACCTCCCAGGGCCAGGGCTGGACCCCGCTTCCCGCAGGGCTGGTGCAGCTGTGCCCTGTGGCACTTGGCGAAGATGCCACTACAGGCAGGGCAGAGCCGCTCCCAGGGGCGTGGGTCCTCCCCTCCCCCGCCGGGGGGGCCGTAGCCCCCGTCCTCCCCTCCCCCCCGGGGGCCCGTAGTTTCTGTTGACCGAAGACTTTCTACTCTGGGGGTTAGGTTGGTGTCATAGAATATCAGGGTTGGAAGAGACCGAGTCCAGCCCCCTCCTCAAAGCAGGACCAACCCCAACTAAATCACCCCAGCCAGGCCTTAAAAACCTCTGAGGAAGGAGATTCCACCACCTCCCTAGGGAAACCATTCCAGTGCTTCACCACCCTCCTAGTGAAAGAGTGTTTCCTAATATCCAACCTAGACCTCCCCCACGGCAACTTGAGACCATTGCTCACTGTGTCACTCAGAGGTGTGAGGTTTGTAGGATAGAGGAGGGCAAAGTAGATGTGAAGTGTTGCAATTGACAGTGGAATTGAATCATAGAATATCAGGGTTGGAAGGGACCTCAGAAGGTCATCTAGTCCAACCCCCTGCTCAAAGCAGGACCAATCCCCAACTAAATCAACCTAACTTGTGGCTGAGAGAAAGCTTTGCCTTGAGCACAGATTCACTGCCCCATAACTTTCTTTCCGTGGAGTTAAGGTTGACTGGCAGTGCCTTGTGCCCTTCTAGAATATTCAGGGCACCTATACCGAAAAGCACTATGTAAGTGTTGATATTATACTTAAACCTCTGAGTTAAGCAGTGGTGAGCTGGAGCCTGTTCGCGAGAACCGGTGGTTAAATTTAGAAGCCCTTTTAGAACCGGTTGTTCTGCGAGGGACAACCGGTTTTAAAAGGGCTTCTAAATTTAACCGGCCAAAAGTGGTGCCTTAGGCACCGACTCCATGGGTGCTCCAGCCCTGGAGCACCCAAGGGGAAAATTTGGTGGATGCAGAGCACCCACTGGCAGCTCCCTGCCCCACCCCCAGCCCCAGCTCACCTCCGCTCTGCCTCCTCCCCTGAACGTGCCACCCAGCTCTGCTTCTCCGCCCCCGCCAGGCTTCCTGTGAATCACTTCAGGAACAGAACGCTTGAGCACTGTTGGACAGCACCTTTTTGCTAAAGAAAATTCGGGTTTAGGCAAGGCATAGCAAACAGGAGCTGTCGCACACCTGGCCTACACTTAAACACTGAGCCTACTCCACACAAGCCACCCTTGTCCGAAGGATTCTGTATGAGACGTTGCCTTTGCTTACTCCTTACTAAGCCTCAGCAGAGAGTCATATGCCAGCAGACTGCTGACAATCCCTGTAGCAAGAGGACCTTGTTCATCTCAGCTGACACAACCTGCAGAACTTAGTGCTGGAATGAATCGTACCTGATCCCTGAGGGTACACATGCACCGATCCTCATATCACAGCAACAGGTCTGCCAACCCCTTCCAGCTAATCCCTCCACCATTCAATATACACCGAACCATGAGTGGCAGTTGCATGCACCTGAATGTTGGCTTTCAACTCTGTGTAACACTGTACAAACAATGGCATCTTCTTTTAGTCTTTAATCATATCTGCTTATTTTGGCAGCACGTCTACTGCAGATTTCCCACTGGCTCTTGCCAGCTCCAGTGGCACAGTTAGCGTTGTGGGAGTGGCACATACCTTTACTCTTCATAGGCTTGTTTTCAGAGGCTGAAGTGTAGCTGCGCTTGACGTTCTGGAAGAGTATGAGGCAATGCCACACAACTTGAACTTGGCATCAGTGAAGTTTAAGAGCAGTGAATTCTCCCCGTCAGGCTGGAGGGGCTACTAGTAGGAAGAAAGGTGGTAACCAAAGGACTGTGAGGGGCACATCTGCCACCAGGAGGCGCCGATGGGGAGTGGGGTGGACTCTATACTCCATTTAGGATCTAGTGTAGGGGAAAGGGACTCTGCACAACCCTCTGCAAATTTGCTCTAAGTAGTACACTGCTGCCCCTGTTGGACAGTTTTCAAGACAATATGGCTATGTTTGTGGATTATAGAGCATGCTGATTATTAAAATAATCTCCTTAGTGGAGGATCTGTATCTGGAGAACCCAAACGTCCCCAGCTTGTGCCATTAATCTACCCTAATATGGCACAGCTGTAGTATAAAAAGGGCTAAAAAGTGACTAAAATATTTCTGTGGTGCCTTCAGTGGAAAATGCATCTGATGAAGTGGGCTGTAGCTCACGAAAGCTTACGTTCAAATAAATTTGTTAGCCTCTAAGGCGCCCCAAGTCCTCCTTTTCTTTTTGCGGATACAGACTAACACGGCTGCTACTCTGAAACCTGTCTTTTGCCTGAGGATACCATGCTGGCATCATATTAGTCGGTGTTGCCCTTATGGCAGTCATTAGAATAGGGTTCTCTGTTACCGGTCTTTCACGTTGCTCAGCCACTCCTTTGATCATGCTGACATTGATGAGAGTTGGAGCTACTTGCTTTTCCCATTGTTCAGGAAACAGGTGAGGTGTATGCAGCATGGTTAAATTACCCGAATGCTGCTGCTTACAAGAGTCTTTTCTTTTCCCTCTATTGAATTAATGCTATTTTCTTTGACAATACCTCTCCAATAAAAATCTGAGTTTGCACGAGGATTGTTGAGCACTCTGAAATATTGCCTCTTAAACCCGAAGCTTTACGCTCAGAGCAGAGCTTCCAGAGGCAGACCCTGCAGAACCCAACTAATTTGCACAACACACGAATCTGAGCTGCCAACAGCAGGACTTGACTTGACAGTGCATGGGAGCTGTGGAGGTTCAATGCCTGTAGCATGTCACCTAGACGGAGCCACATTTACTCTGCCATCAGCCTGCCTGCAAACGCTCTGATTTGTGACAGAGCCCCAGTCTTGCTTTCAGAGTAGCAGCCGTGTTAGTCTGTATCCGTAAAAAGAAAAGGAGGACTTGTGGCACCTTAGAGACTAACAAATTTATTTGAGCATAAGCTTTCATGAGCTACAGCTCACTTCATCAGATGCATACAGTGGAAAATATAGTGGGGAGGTTTTATATACACAGAGAACATGAAACAATGGGTGTTACCATACCGACTGTAACAAGAGTGATCAAGAAAGGTGAGCTATTACCGGGGGCAGGGGGGTTGGGGGGCCTTTTGTAGTGATAATCAAGGTGGGCCATTTCCAGCACTTTACAAGAACAGTAGGAGGGGAAATAAACATGGGGAAATAGTTTTACTTTGTGTAATGACCCATCCACACCCAGTCTTTATTCAAGCCTAAGTTAATTGTATCCAGTTTGCAAATTAATTCCAATTCAGCAGTCTCTCGTTGGAGTCTGTTTCTGAAGTTTTTTTGTTGAAGAATTGCCACTTTTAGGTCTGTAATAGAGTGACCAAAGAGACTGAACTGTTCTCCGACTGGTTTTTGAATGTTAATGTTAATTATTCAAGCCAAGATAATCCCTGATTGGGTGAGATAAGTTTGGGGAGGACAAGAGCCATAGTTTGAGCCCCAGTTGCACCCATCAAAAGCTGTAAGAACCGTAAAAAGTTGATGTCATTATTTTTGTAAGTGTGTGTAGGTATCTCAGGAATCTCTAGCTTAAACTAACTCCAGTTTGAACCACTAACCCTCCATCAGAGCTCCATGAGGCACAGCAGTTTTCAAGGAACCTGAAAGTAAGCACATGGATTTTAGAACACTTGGAAAAATCAGCTGTTAAACATTAAGCTTATCTCAACCTTAACTACAGTGGGCGTGACTACCCCACCATCATTTCCTTCATGCTCAGCAGATCTGACGTCCACTGAACTGCACTAACACAAGGCAGGAATTTCATTACCCTTCCTTGTAAGCAGAGTTTCAATATCTCTGAGTTCACCATAGATCTGCTGGATCTTGTTGCTTCAGACGTCGTTTTTGATGGATCTCAGAGAGGCCTGTTTCCAAATGAAGGAAAAAAGCCATGTGATCTTAGGACATAAATCTTGATATGCGCCACTGCAGTGTTCTGCCTAGTGGCAAAAACAACTAACTTGCTTTTGTGTTTGACTGCTGCTGAACATACCTCAAACACAGCATTGTGTTCTTGTAATGTCTATCTCATCTCTCCTTAGATAGTGACAAGGTGCTTACAAACTGGATATCAACATACTTCATCAACTGATTTGGGATGGTTATAATGGCATTACTATTCTCCCTGACAGAATGAAAATTCTAGGATTTTCATGATTAAAATGTATGAGTCAGTGGTTTATTTCCCCTCTAAATTCATCGTAACTGGAGATTGGCCGTACAAAATTTTAACCAGGCGATTGAACAAAGTTTTTTAATTTTTTAAAATTTCTGCTCCAACCTGTGGCACGGTGAACACCTGTGATCCTTGAGGGCATCTGTTAAGAAAATGTGTATTTGATTATGAATTGAAGTTGCCCTGTGATCTGAATCAGCCCTCTCACTAAGGAGTGGGTAGGATGTGCCTTCTCCCCAGCTGTCTTGCACCATTTCCCTGCAACCTCA